CGACCAGAAGATGGCGGGGCGAGTCCTCGCCAGGGCCTTCTTCAGCACCTGCCAACTTTGGGCTTCTGCGGCGTAAGGTGCATCCCGTCTGGGAAAAACTCGCGCGTCAGTGAGCCCGCGCGTGCCCCCTGGAGCCGCGGGTTCTCATGGGTCTCAGCGGCCGGCGTGGTTGCATGCAAGGCCTCTGCCGCATCAGTCCGCTGCGGGGCAGCGGTGTCCTTCGGGGGTGCGTGGGAGCGTGCGCGATCGCGTGGGAACTGAGCGATGGCCTGCCGGTCGCGCCAGCAGGGCGGGGGCCAGAGGTCCCTTGCACGGCGTGCGAGTGTTTGGCGGCGCCGCGGGCACTCTTCGAGCTCCGCGCGCCAAGAGGCACGCTGGGGGACAAGGTTCTGCGCCGTGCGCCAGCGCGTCGCCGCCGTGCGCGCCGCAGTGGAGGTCGGGGCAGAGCCGGGTGCCCAGCCTCGGAGGGGCCAGCTGTCGTGGCCCGCGAGCGAATTGGGGAGCAGCTTGAGCACGCGCAGGGGCTCCTCGTGCAGGAGCCGCTTCGGCGGCGGGTAGAACTGGGCGACGTGACCCAAAAGTGCGGTGAATCGCAAAAACCCGCGCAGACGGAGGGGGCAGTCGCACCACTTCTGCGAGCAGGCCCCCCACTGGGGGGCATTCGTGGCCGCTGGGCCAGTGTGCGCTCCTACACAGCCGTGACAAACATTTCTTCAATTTGTCATGATGACGATCTCTCCCATCCCTCTCAAGATTCCTAACATGACATGATGCTGGGTCATTCGGCGGAGTAGTTTCCAATCCCGGGGACGTTAATAACTCTGTTATCCCAAAACGGGATCGGAAACTACCCCGCGCCAAACCATATAAATCACCGAGCGGGATGCGATTGCGCGCGGAGTAGTTTTAGTAAAACTACTCCGAACTACTCCGCACGATTGCGTCATTCCAAAAGGCAAAGTGAAAGAAACTTTCGTCACGGCGATGTAGCTGCTCCATCTCTCCCGCCGCGGTGAAATTCTGCCACTGCGGGGGGGTCTGGCGCAGGGCGGAGCGGATGTCGGCGATTGCACCTTCTGCGCGTCCTGCCCTGAGCGGAGCGAGGGCGCACGCGCGAGGGCGGGGGCGGAGAGAGGCGGGGCTCGAGCCGGAGGTGAAGGAGGGGGCGAGGCAGGCGAGGCACGTGGGCTTCGCCGGGGGCGCGCCGATGTCTTCGGCGCAGCCGCCGAAAGATGCTTCGCGCGGTCCGTCGGGGGCGCGCGCTCTAGGGGGCCAGCCATGGGGTCCATGCCGGAAGCCCGCGGGCGGTGATTCTGATGATGACTGTGATGACTGTGATGACTGTGATGATGATGATGATGATGATGATGATGATGATGATGATGATGATGATGATGATGATGATGATGATGATGATGCCGTTGTTGTTGATGATGAGGGGCATGTAAGGTGTCCAACGAAGGGTTGACAGCGTCCGACGAGCCGAATCATTCTTATGTCCCCCTGCTTTCATGCACACAGAGACCTCGACCCACTTCCATCTTCCTCCATCCTCCTCCTCCATCCCCTATCCCCTATCTTCCTCCCTCCGTCCTCCGTCCTCCTCCGTCCTCTATCCTCAATCCCCCATACCCTATCCCCCATCCTCCACCGTCCATCCTCCTCCTCCCTGCCTCCTTCCAGGGGCCCCGACATCTAGCGCCTCGACTTTTTCGAGACCCGGTCTCTCGACCTCTTGAAAACTTCCCCGATACCAGTTTTTGATCCCGGATTGTCTCTTGATGGCCCCGAAGCCCTAGGAGGGCCCCGAGAGGCCGAAAGCGATGAAGAACCTCCGCATCGTTTCTTTCGAGACGCAGGATGTCTGGGGCGGTCGACGTTCATCGATCCTGCGCCACCGGAACGCCGCGGTCGTTCGCGGTGAAACCGACGACACGCACCTGCCGTGCTTCGTCCCCGCCGCGGTGGCCGCGGGCTGTGGCGCCCTGGGGGGCAGGCCTCCCCCAGAGAGGCGCGCGCCGCCGAAGGCCGCCGCGCGGGCGGTGGCGGCCGCGGCGGCCGCCCCGGCGGTCGCGGCGAGGGCGAGCAACGCCGGGGGGCGCGGCCTCCGCGCCGTGGGCGCGCGGAGGGGACCAGACTTTTGATACATCTGTATATACCATGTGTAAACACATGTGTGTACGTGCACATGTATGTATGCAAACATGCATGTATGTATGCATGTACGTATGCATGTATGTACGTGTGTACATGCGTACGTATGTATGTACGTATGAATGAATGTCTGTATGTACTATGTATGTGTACATGTATGTATGCCTTCGTGTATGTATATGCATATGCATGCCTGTCTGTCTGTCTGTCTGGCTGTCTGTCTGTCTGTCGGTATGTATGTATGTATGTATGTGTATATGTTTGTATATGTGCATGTATGTCTGTTTATATGTGTAATTCACATTTACATTTACATTTACTATTACACTTAAACTTGAATTTGCATACATACATACATACATACATACATACATACATACATACATACATACATACATACATACATACATACATATATACATCATGTATGCGGGAGTGTGGTCTTGGTTTGATTTGTTGTTCTCCACTGTCCCCCAATCGCTGTTCCCACATCCTGAGATGAGTTCTTTTGTCATTACTGGCACGCCTCTGCCTCCTCACTCCTGCCTCCCCCCTCACACTCGGATCCCTCATACTCAGACTCTCTCACACTGAGACTCACACTCCCGCCCACATTCAGACTCTTGCTCAGACTCACTCAGATTCAGGCTCAATGCTCAGGCTCAGCTATACCCAGATGCAGTCATACTCAGATGCACTCACACTCAGGTCCACTCACACGCGGACTCATTTCTCACAGTCAGACTCATACACGCTCAGACTCACTCACACTCAGGATCGCCTCACGCTCACCTTTTGAGGAGGTCTCGAGCGAGGCGCTGGTTTCAGCAACCCAAGGGGGGAGCTGCCAGGGAGTGTTGCACGAGCCCGTTCGCGCCCAGATTGTGGGGATGTCTTTGGCGGTTTGCCTGTTCGGTGGCCTCTGCCTTCAGAGCAGGTTGTGAAGATGTCTCGAGCTAGGCGCTGACTTTGGCACCCCATGGGGGAGCCGCCAACAGTTGTTGCACGGGATCGTTCGCGGCCGGACTGTGGGGATGTCTCGGGCGGCTTGCCTGTTTGGTGGCTTGAGCTTTCCGGCTCTCAGGACAGAGTGTGGGAATTTCTTGAGCGAGGCGCTGGTTTCAGTACTCCAGGCGGCCAGAGTGTGGGGATGTATCGGGCGAGGCGCTGGATTTTGCACCTCCGATTCCTGTCCGTTCAGAGCACGCACCCAAAGAAACTGACTGGTGACGAGACGTAAAACCACTGTGAACGAGGGCTGTCCGTGGGGATCGTGAGCGTGAATGCGTGCTCTGCACGACCTCGAGAGATGTCCACGGATGGGCCACAGCTGATCGCTGATTATCAGACCCCCGACCCTTCACAACGTTTACCTTTGAGCCAAAATGGTTACGAACCGCCTCCCGCTCCTCCTCCTCCTCCTGCTGCTGCTGCTGCTGCTTCTGCTCTTCCTCTTCCTCCTCCTCCTCCTCCTCCTCCTCCTCCTCCTCCTCCGTTAGGGCCTCGCGCGGTGCGTGCCGCACGGCAGCCGGGAGCGGGAGAGCCGCAGCGGCCCAGGCTGCGCGGCCCCGCGCGGGCACCGCTGCATGGCCCAGAGAGCTCCAGAGGGGGGCTGGGGCCCCAAGAGCTCCAGGCGTCGCGCAGACGGAGCATCGTGGAGCCGATCCCTGTCTCCACTCGCGTGGCCTTAGCCCCAGTGGCCGATATATAGCCTCCTAGATGGGGATCTGGGCTGTTCCCCTGGGGCTTTGAGGGGCGTATATCCCCAACGGGAGTGGTGGGAAGGAGGGGATTGGGACGGGAATGGGAAGAAGGATCGGCTGAACCATGCTCAAGGACAAAACAAAAAAAACACGACGGGTGCTCTTCGGCATTCTGTCTTTTCTGATGCGGGCGCTCTGCCGCAGCGTCGTCCTCCCAGGGCTGGGGTCTCCCTCGGGTTCCTAGCCCGCAGGAAAAAAACAACAAACCACCTGCCAGGCGACGAAGAGCTGGCCTCGGGGACCGTGCCCTGATGCCCCGAAGGGCACAACGTCAGAAGGGCACAGGGCATCGACCGAAGTCCAGGAGGGGCTCCAGGATGGCTGGCAAAGAGCCCACAAGGCCTTATGTGGCCCAAAATGGCCCAGCGATCGACTTGAGGTGGCCGCGAGGCTGACCACTTCTTTCCAACCCTGGAGAGGTGGTTGAGGAGACGGAGGGGGACAATCATGATAAGAGGGAGGAGGTGGAGGAGGAGGAGGAAGAGGAGGACCAGTGTAAACCCAAGACTCATCAACGATGTGAGAATACACCCTTCCTCCAGGCTCCCTCTTCATAGGCGCCTAAGGGCTCATTTCCACTGAAGGAAGTGCCCCGTAGGGGGAATAACCGCGTTAAAATCCTGAAGCGTGCCAAAACACCATTCTTAGGAGTCCAACGCCACGAGTGAACCTGACTGGTGCGTCTTGGCGATCCTGAGTCGTGCCAGAACACCATTCCTGGGATTTCGAAACTGCGAATCGACGTAACTGTTGCGCCCTGACAGTCCTGAAACCTTCCAAAACACTATTTCTGGTACGCTACCCAGGAGAATCAATGAAACTATTGTTGCGATTTGTTAGGGCGAATGTGCGCGGCGCTAAGGCGAGAAGCACATTTTACAAACACCCGCCCTCAATCCATGGAGGTCTTGCAACATCAACAAACGAAGTCTCAAGGGAAACGCCCGGCCCGCCCTTTCAACCTGCCTCGGAGTGCGACGCGACAGGAAGGAATTGTTGATAAGGGACAGGAATGGAGGATGAGGAGAAGGAGGAGGAGGATGAGGAGGAGGATTGGAAAAAGGTTTGACCAGCCCCATCGGCCTCAGCCTCCAGAAGGCGAGCCAGCGGGGAAGGAGGAGCATCAGGAGGAGGAGGAGAAGGAGGAGGCGGACCATGGGCCGGGGGGCATCGAGCCCCCCTCCCCCCCAACAACACCCGCTGAAGGGGATGGAGCAGGGGAAGGCTGGGGAAGACATGGGCAAGACGATGACGGTGAGGGGGGACTACCCGTGGAAGGACGCGTCCAAATCGCCTGGACGCGCTCCTCCGAAGTCAAAACATGCCCGACGGGTCTACGGTCATGGACTTCTGCTCAGCGTCTCGCGGCGGCGGCGGCCCCAGCGACACGTTATGCCATGCGAAGGGATTGCATGTCGCTCCGCTCCGTTGGGCTGCAGGCTGGGAAAAGCTCTGAACGTTGACGCCCGGGAATGGGGATGTGGATAGCGTGTCGCGCTTGAGCGTGGTGGGCCAGAACCCGCGGAGCGACACGCTAAGCCAAAATTCCTAACCGTACGCCTCCGGAGGCAGCCCCGTCTTGGGATGGAACCCGGCCATCAGACGCTCCCGAGCTCAACGGTGGCGGCGTGAACGAAGAGCGGGCTCAGGAGCACGAGGGCGAATGGGTTCGCCCTGCCCCCCCTCTGCGTCAACTGTAATAACCCACGAACGACACAACATAAACTCTCGAAATTCTGCGCGGGTGTCCCGGGTCGGCGCCGGACAGGAGGAGGAGGAGGAGGAGGAGGAGGAGGAGGAGGAGGAGGAGGAGGAGGAGGAGGAGGAGGAGGAGGAGGAGGAGGAGGAGGAGGAGGAGCAGGAGAAGGAGGAGAGGAGGAGGAGGAGGAGGAGCAGGAGGAGGACCAGGAGGAGCAGGAGGAGGAAAGGAGGAGGAGGAGGAGGAGGAGGAGGAGGAGGAGGAGGAGGAGGAGCAGGAGGAGGAAGAGGAGGAGGGGGAGGACCCCCCGCGCAAGAGATCCTCGCCGCCTGCTTTTCGGGTCCGAGCTCGGGCCTCGGGCGGCCGATCGCGAGACGATCCGGGCACCCCCCCGGGAACGCTCTCGGCGAGGCGCAGCTGCCGGAGAGCACCCCGAGGCTGCAGGACCGCCGAGGGCCGGCGAGCGCGGCCGAGAAGCGCCGAGGGGGCCGGCGAGCACGTCCGAGAACCTGCAGCCTCGAGAGCGAAGCGCGACGGGGGTGCCCGGAGCCGGCCCCGAGAATCCGCGGGGACCTCCGGAGGCTTGCGTTAGGTCGGGCACGTCCTCATACAGGCGGGCTTTGGAAGCAGAATGCAAAAATAGTCAGAACAGTAAATTCGGTTAAGAATAGTCGAAGCATCGTCGCCCGACAGTTTTTTTTGGACAATTCTTGAAGATTCCGCCTCTAGGGGGGGACAGGCCCGACTGAAAACTGGCGTCTGAGCGCTCGAAGGGCGGCCACGAGAACGCGGGCCGAGGGCTCGAGGCCATTCGCCAAAGCAGCCAAGCGGGGTTGCCAAGTTCCCCTGCGCACGCCCCGGGAGCGCGCCCGTCTCTGAGAGTAAGGTTAGGTCGGGCATGTCCCCCTACAGGCGGACTTTGGAAGACGAATCAAACATAGCCGAAGCATACTCAAACAGAGCCCCAAAAAGCACGAAACATCGTCCCCAGACTATTTTTCTACGGCCCTTGAATATTCCTCCTGTTGAGGGGCACGCCCGACTTAGCGCAAGCCTCGGAAGCGCGCCTGTCTCCAAGGGTAAGAAGTCTCGCCCCCGACCGGAGTCTTCACATAGCCGACGCTCCGCGCAGGTGCTCCCGCGTCCGCCGACCCTCCTCGGCAGGATGCGTGGAGCGCGGCGAGCCTTCAGAGAACGAAAAGCTTCGGGCCTGACTCCGTCACGACGCGAGAAGATGCCAGGGTAGGTCGTGGGGGTAAGCAAGCAGATGGGAGGAGGAGGAGGAGGAGGAGGAGGAGGAGGAGGAGGAGGGAAAACGAAAAGCACTCCAAAGCGGAGGGCCCCGGACACGAAGATCACGAGGGCCCCGCTCCAAGGGCGACGTCGTTCTCAGCCCTCCGGCAGGCCGGCCGCACGCCGAGTGCTCGGAGAGGCAGGACGGGTAGCAGGGCCACGCAGCGAGCGAGCGAGCCACGAGCACAGCTTTTAACGACGACGTGCGTGTCATTGGTGCTCCAGGTTTCGTAATAAAAGGGAGGGGGTCTGGACCCTCCAAGACAAGCCGTTGCAGACCTCCCCCGTGGGAGAAGCCTCCAAAACATCGTCCCCAGACCCCCCAGGCCCTCCAAGATAGCCTGGAAGAGACACCCCTCCGAAATGAGACCCCCCTCCCTTTATTACGAAATCTGGAGTACAGTAAACCAGTATAGTAAGGATGCATGGTAAGGATGCAAGGGCCTTGGTGGGCCATGTCGACACTTTGCGAGTGGGGCGCGGCCAGCGACAGCGGCAATGGATGGCCCGAAGGGGGAGGATGAAAGGGTACCCTTTGGAAGGTTTCCCAGCCTTCCTGTGCGGGTTGACTGTGCTTTGTGTTTCCCCCCAACTTTTTTTGCTCCTCGAGCATTCTCCCCCCCCCCCCCCCCTCGTCGGAAGCTCTCCAGGATGGTGGCGCCCCGCCCAGACCGCGCCGCGGCCCGTGCGGCCTGCGACATCGCCGCCCGCTGCCCTCCTTTGAGACGGGAGGGCGCTGGGGCGGCGGCAACTGAGCTTGCGCCCCGGACGTGTCTACAGACCCTCCTGCCCCAGCCCTGCATGCCGCCACGCTGGTCCTGGGCAGGCTGTGCTGTCCAGCGGAAGCGGACGAGGAGGGGAGAAGCAGGCAGACGACGACGGACGCCCAGGCGGGAGGCCAGGGCTGGCGGGGCGGGTGGGCGGCGGGCAGAGGAGGGGCCAGGCGGAGACAGCAGGCAGGGAGCAGGAGGAAAGGAAAGGGAGGGAAGCAACGAGCAGAAGGGGAGGGAGGAGGAGGAGGACAAGGAGGAGGGGAGGCAACCGCAAGCGGAAGCTAGCGGCCCCATGTCGTCGTCGTCGACGTCGTCGTCGTCGTCGTCGTCGTCATCGCCTTCACTGTCGTCCTCGTCGGCATCAACATCGTTGTGTTCAGCACCTGCATGGGCAGCATCGTGAACAATCACGACCAGAGCCCTAGATCTGTTTTTTTTCAGCGGCTCTTCTTGGGCGGGATCGGCCCGTGAGGGTCCCAAGGCCCGAATCTGGGCGAAGACGCCCGGTGTGAACAGAATGCGTCGCGAGGATCTCGGGGCAGGGCAACCCCGCGGCGCGCCGAGGCTGCCAACGCACCGGTTCGCGACAGCTTGAAGATGTCGCCCCCGGGCATCCGCCGACATGGCTTTTCAAACTGCGGCCCCCGGGCTCCCGACCGATTCCCCGGGGGCGGCTCGTCGCCCCAGATCCACATCCTGGTCACTATATGGCGCCCGAGAGCGGCCCCTGGAGGCCGCGCTGAAAGAAGAAGAAGAAGCCGGCCGATGGAAACATCCTTCCGCGAGACATCTGGGCCCCAATCAGTAGAGGCCTCCCAGACGGGGTCGGAGTAGGTGGGGACAGAGGATCGCGCCGCATTGCCGCTGCATCGCCAATGCAACGGGCAAGCATCGGCGAAGCGTCGGCGACGTATCGGCGCAGCCAGCGTGGAGGACATCGGGCCCCACGTGTGCTGCGACGCGCAAGGCCCAAACGAAGCGCTACAGGACCAAACGATCTTGTTGGCCCTGTGGAGCCTCTGCTTGGTCCTGGCGCGTCGGGGTCTGGTCCTGGCGTGTCGCGTGTTTGCACCTTGCGGGTCTGGGTTTGGGCCTTTGCGCGTCGGGCCCTGGGCCCTGCCGGAGCGCGCGCGCGGAGCGAGAAGTGCTCCACCCCTCCGCCGCGGCCGCCCCAGGCCGCGAACCTGCACCCGGGTGTGGGCCTCTGGGAGCTTCCTGGGAGCCTTGCGATGCGGCTCTCGGGCCCTGCCGGGGCGCGCGCGCACGGCGACGATGCTCCACTGCTCCGCTGCGGCCCCACGACTTCAGGAATCGACACCCCTCCGAGATCCTCTGGCGGCCCCTCCAGCTTCCCCGGATCACCGACGACATGTTTCTTTCAGCCCCGGAAGATTCATCAATGATCTCGGCCTCACGACCGTCTTCATGCGCCGGCAGCACCGATCGAAGGACTCCGTACGGACCTCCGAAACATGACATTTACGGCATTGTCTCCCTCGATCACCTTCGCGCAACATATTTTGCGCTGGATTTGCTGCAAAACGCGAGACCATCAATGTGACGCAAAACCGGAGCGTGGGTACCTGCGATTGGTCAGGCTTCATCCCCACTTCGAGGACAGTGATGGGGGCAGCCCGCAGATGGCCATGCGGGAAGGAAAGGAGGTGAAGCTTACGAGGGCAGAAAATACTCAGTGGAGCTACTGGCCATGAGGCACGATCGATAACAACATGAAACCACCTTGGGGCCCCACAAGGGCCTGGATGCAGGATGATTGCTAGAGAAAGAACCATGAACGGTCCTAAGGAAATGCGAGCCCGTTCCAAACCCTAGCTGAGCCTTGTTTCAGCGTCTTGACTTTAGTCGCTAGAGCAATCACGTGCTGGAGGCTCGAATCCAAATCGATGGATCCAGAGAGCCGTAGCTCGGTCACGTGCTGTGAAGTGGCCCAGCGGCTGGCCAAGATCGTGAGGTGTGCACGAAGGCAGCAGGATCAAGAGCGTGAAACGCAGCAGGAAGGCCGAGACAGCAGGATCAAGAGCGTGAAAGGCAGCACCACTACGGGTCAAGACAGCAGGAGCAAGAGCACAGCAGCACGGGGGGGGCTGAGACAGCAGGGTCAAAGAGCATGAAACGCAGCTTGGGGGCCAAGACAGTAGGATCAAGAGCGTGAAACGCAGCACGGGGGGGTGCCAACACAGCAGGATCAAAAGCGTGAAACGCAGCACGAGGGAGGCCCAGACAGCAGGATCAAGAGAGTGAAACGCAGGACAAGGGCGGAGACGGCAGGATCAAGAGCGGGGAACGCAGCACGGTGGGGGCCAAGAAAGCAGGAGAGCTTCGAGATCAGGAGCGTCAATCGTAGCACGGGGGGAGGGGGAAAGACAACAGGATCAAGTGCGTGAAACGCAGCACAGGGGGAGGGCAAGGCAGCGGGATCAAGAGCTTGAAACGCAGCATCGGGGCCGAGACAGCAGGATCAAGAGCGTGAAACGCACCACGGGGGAGCCAAGACAGCAGGATCAAGAGCGTTAAACGTAGCACGTGGGGAGGGGGGCAAGAACGTGAAACGCAACACGGATGACAGCCAAGCCAGCAGGATCAAGAGCGTTAAACGTAGCACGTGGGGAGGGGGGCAAGAACGTGAAACGCAACACGGATGAGGGCCAAGGCAGCAGGATCAAGAGCGTGAAACGCAGCCTGAGGCACCAGGGCCAAAAGGTATGATCAAGAGCGTGAAATTTAGCATCAAGGCCGAGGCAGCAGGGTCAAGAGAGTGAAACGCAGCACGGGGCTCAGGGCCGAGACAGCAAGATCAAGAGAGTGAAACCCAGCACCAGGGCACGCGGGGGCAAGACAGCAAGACCAAGAGCGTGAAAAGCAGCGCGTGGCACGGGCCCGCGACAGCAGGATCGAGAGCGTGAAACGCAGCACTGGGGCCAGGACTGCAGGATCAAGTGCGCGAAACACAGTACGGGGCAAGGGGCCGAGACAACAAAATCCATAGCGTGATACGCAGCACACGGGAACGGGGACGAGACAGCAAGATCATGAACGTGAAACGCAACTCAGGGGGTGCCAAAATTGCAGGATCAAGAGCGTGAGCTGCAGCAGGGGGGAACCAAGACAGCAAAATCAAGAACGTGACACGCAGCACGGTGGGGGCCATGACAGCAAGATCAAGAGCGTGAACCGCAGCACGGGGAGCGGTTCAAGTTAGTAGGATCAAGAGCGTGAAACGCAGCATGGGAGGGGGGGCAAGACAGCATGATCAAGAGCGTTAAACGTAGCATGGTGAGGGCTAAGACAGCAGGATCAAGAGCGCGAAACGCAGCACGGGGGGGTAAGACAGCAGGACCATGAGCGTGAACCGCAGCACGGGGCTCGGGGCCAAGACAACAGGATCACGAGCGTGAAACGCAGGACGGGGGACTAAGACAGCAGGATCACGAGCGTGAAACGCAGCACGGGTGGGGGGGGAAGCCAGTAGGATCCAGAGCGTCATGATCAACATCGTGAAACGCAGGACTGGGGAGGCAAAGACAGCAGCATCACGAGCGTGAGACGCAGCACGGGGGGAAGCCAAGGCAGCATGATCAAGAGCGCGCAACGCAGCACGGGGGGGCCAAGGCAGCAGAACCAAGAGCGTGAAACGCTGCACGGGGGGCGGGTTGCCAAGGCAGCAGGATCAAGAGCGTCACGATCAAGAGCGTGAAACGCAGCACGGGTGGGGGAGGGGCAAGACACTGGGATCAGACGCTGGAAACGCAGCTCTGGGGCCGAGACAGCAGGATCCAGAGAGTGAAACGCAGCACAGGGGCCAATACAGCAGGATCAAGAGCGTGAGACGCAGCACGGGGGGAAGCCAAGGCAGCATGATCAAGAGCTTGAAACGCAGCACGGGGGGGCCAAGACAGCAGAACCAAGAGCGTGAAACGCTGCACGGGGGGCGGGTTGCCAAGGCAGCATGATCAGGAGCGTCACGATCAAAAGCGTGAAACGCAGCACGGGGGGGGAGGGGCAAGACACCGCGATGAGACGCTTGAAACGCAGCTCTGGGGCCGAGATAGCAGGATCCAGAGAGTGAAACGCAGCTCAGGGGCCAACACAGCAGGACCAAGAGCGTGGAACGCAGCGCGGGGGAGGGGGTCGGGGGCATTACAGCAGGATCAAGTGCGTGAAACGCACACCCAGGCCGAGGCAGCTTAATCAAGAGCGCGAAACACAGCACTGGGGGGCAAGACAGCAGGATCACGAGCGTGAGGCGCAGCACCGAGGCACGGGGCCAAGACAGCAGGATCACGAGCGCGAAACGCAGCACGGGGGGAGCCCAAGTCAGCAGGATCAAGGGCGTGACACGCGGCACGGGGGTGAGGCCCAAACAGCAAGACCAGGAGCGTGCATCGCAGCACGGGGGAGGGCCTTGCCCAGGCGAGCGCGTGGAGCGTGAGTGCTCCACTGCTCAGCTGCGGCCGCCACAAGGCAAGCATCTACACCCAGGCATATACCCGTGGACCGTTTTTTCAAATCCTTGCGCGTCGGTCCCTGGGCCCTGCCGGGGCGCGTGCGCGGGGCGAAGTAGCTCCACTGCTCCGCTCGGGTTTGGGCCTGTGAAGCCTGGGTATGGTCCGGTTGGGCCTTTGTTTTGGCCTTGCGCGTCGGTCCCTGGGCCCTGCCAGGGCGCGCGCGCTCGGGGCGAAAATGCGCACGCGCGGGGCAAAAGTGGTGCACTGCTCCGCTTGTCCTCTCGGGTTTGGGCCTGTGGAGTCTGGGTTTGGTCCTGGGGAGCCTCTGTTTCGGCCCTGCGCGTCGGTCCCCGGGCCCTGGCGGGGGGCGCGCGCGGGGCGAAAGTGCTCCTCTGCTCCACTGCTCCGCTCGGGTTTGGGCCTGTGGAGCTCGGGTTTGGTCCTTGGGAGCCTCTGTTTCGGCCCTGCGCGTCGGTCCCCAGGCCCTGGCGGGGGGCGCGCGCGGGGCGAAAGTGCTCCTCTGCTCCACTGCTCCGCTCGGGTTTGGGCCTGTGGAGCTCGGGTTTGGTCCTTGGGAGCCTCTGTTTCGGCCTTGCGCGTCGGTCCCGAGGCCATGGCTGGGGGCGCGCGCGGGCCGAAAGTGCTCCTCTACTCCTTGTTCCGCTCGGGGTTGGGCCTCCGGAGCCTGGGTATGGTCCTGTGGAGATTTTGTTTTGGCCTTGCGCGTCGGTCCATGGGCCCTGCCGGGGCGCGCGCGCGGGGCGAAAGTGCTTCACTGCTCCGCTCGGGTTTGGGCCTGTGAAGCCTGGGTATGGTTCTGTGGGGCCTTCATTTTGGCCATGCGCGTCGGTCCCCGGGCCCTGGCGGGGGGCGCGCGCGGGGCGAGAATGCTCCACTGCTCCGCTGCGCCCGCGCACCACAGGCCCAAACAACCCGCAAGGACCAAACCCCGACGCGCAAGGCCCAAACAGAAGCTCCACGGGACCAACCGATCTTGTGATCCGTGGAGCCTTTGCCTCGTCCTTGCGCGTCGGGCCTTGGTCCTCGCGGGAGATCTCTGGCCCCACATCGAGCTGCATAGCCGATGCAGCGGCGATGCGGCGCTCCTCCGACCCCATCCACTCGGACCCCATCTGGGACGCCTAGAATAGGAGCGGACGAGGGCCGCGCGCAAGGCGCAAGGTGGCGCGGGGCGGGGCGGGGGCAGCGGCAATCTCCCTGGCTGCGAGGTGGGCGCCAGGCTGGGGGGGGGGCGCCATCCCCGCCGTCGGGCTGGGCAAACACAATCTTCCATATAGATCCACGAAACTTTGCAAACATCTAGCCTTACCGTGCGAAAGTGTCCTCTCGGGTGTGGCGACTACTGCGTAACCTGCGAACATTTCGTGTAACCGACGAGGAAACCGAAGCCAGACCTCAGACGAGGACACCGAACTGAGCTGTTCAAGGCTGGCCTTCCGACTAGGCGGCGGGGCAGTGCAGCCGCCTCGGGCGCCCAAGACTCTTCGTGCCCTCCTCCCCCTCGGAAGCCCCAAATGGCCTGCCAATCGCGAAACGTACGGCAAACTGCTTCAATACGCTCACATACTAAGGGGAAGGACGCCGCATGTTGTACCTGAGCTAGTCGGGCCATGGCACGAAGGATGACTCGCCGCTGCAATATGGCGCGCCGGGTATGCGGATGTGGTGGAAGCGGAGGAGGGAGCAGAGGATGGGACGGTAGAAGGACCTCATGTGAGGAGGGGGGAGGAGGAAACATCTCGTATACGATAGCTTAGGAACACCATGTCAAGGGTAAGCATGGCTCCACCGGAGCCGTGTCGGAGCGGAGCAGTCCAAGCTCGGCTGCATCGAGTGAAAACATGGGGAGACGAACTCTCGCGAGGGCCCTGCGCCAACCCCAGTGGCTAGTCAGTCAGAGTTTCTCGCGAGACCTTTTTTTGTTTGTTTGTTTTTTTTCTCCCCCAAACCATCCTGTGGTGTTGGGTCCTCGTTTTGAAGAGACGGTGCCCCGAGTCTCCTCCCGCTGCCCCCTCCTCCTCCCGCTCCTCCCTCCTCCCTGCGTTTCACCCACCCAGTACAGCGTTTCGTGGCCCCATAGGGAGTTCCACCGAACGCCCCAGTGGCAAGGTTCGCATGGCGGCCCCGCGTTTTGGCGCTCCCCTCACACGGTTCGTAGCCCCATAGGGAGCTCCACCGAAAGGCCACAGTGGCAGGGTTCGCATGGCGGCCCCGCACCATTTTGGCGCACCCCTCACACGGCTCGTGGCCCCATAGGGAGTTCCACCGAAGGCCCCCGTGGCAGGGTTCGCATGGCGGCCCCGCACTATTTTGGCGCACCCCTCACGGTTCGTGGCCCCATAGGGAGCTCCACCGAAGGCCACAGTGGCAGGGTTCGCATGGCGGCCCCGCGTCAGTTTGGTGCACCCCTCACACGGTTCGTGGCCCCATAGGGAGCTCCACCGAAAGGCCCCAGTGGCAGGGTTCGCATGGCGGCCCCGCGCCATTGTGGCGCACCCCTCGCACGGTTCTTGGCCCCATAGGGGGCTCCACCGAAGGCCCCAAAGACAGGGTTCGCATGGCGGTCCCGCTCCAGTTTGGTGCACCCCTCACACGGTTCGTGGCCCCATAAGGAGTTCCACCGAAGGCCCCAGTGGCAGGGTTCGCATGGCGGCCCCGCGCAAGTTTGGTGCACCCCTCACACGGTTCGTGGTCCCATAAGGAGCTCCACCGAAGGCCCCAGTGGCAGGGTTCGCATGGCGGCCCCACGCCATTTTGGCGCACCCCTCACACGGTTCGTGGCCCCATAAGGAGTTCCACCGAAGGCCCCAGTGGCAGGGTTCGCATGGCGGCCCCGCGCAAGTTTGGTGCACCCCTCACACGGTTCGTGGTCCCATAAGGAGCTCCACCGAAGGCCCCAGTGGCAGGGTTCGCATGGCGGCCCCACGCCATTTTGGCGCACCCCTCACACGGTTCGTGGCCCTATAGGGGGCTCCACCGAAGGCCCCACAGTGGCAGGGTTCGCATGGCGGCCCCGCGTCAGTTTGGTGCACCCCTCACACGATTCGTGGCCCCATAGGGAACTCCACCGAAAGCCCCCGTGGCAAGGTTCGCATGGCGGTCCCGCACCATTTTGGGGCAACCCTCACACGGTTCGTGACCCCATAGGGAGTTCCACCGAACGCCGTAGTGGCAAGGTTCGCATGGCGGCCCCGCGCAAGTTTGGTGCACCCCTCACACGGCTCGTGGCCCCATAGGGAGCTCCACCGAAGGCCCCAGTGGCAGGGTTCGCATGGCGGCCCCGCGCAAGTTTGGTGCACCCCTCACGCGGTTCGTGGCCCCATAGGGAGCTCCACCGAAGGCTCCAGTGGCAGGGTTCGCATGGCGGCCCCGCGCAAGTTTGGTGCACCCCCCACACGGTTCGGGGCCCCATGAGGAATTCCCCTTGCTTCGTCCCACCTGCCCTGCGGTTTTCAGACTTGCGTATGGTTGGGTCCTTCGCCAGTTTTTTGTTTTGTTTTTTGTTTTTGGTTCTCTCTCTCTCTGTGTCTCTCTCTCTCTCTCTTTATCTCTCGTCATTTCTATCTCCAGATACATACATGCACATATGTACACATATGAGATAAACAACTATATAGATGTATATCCATCTCTCCTTCTCTTCCTTTCTCATTCTCTCTACATAGCTTGCTGCTCGCGTCGGGCAACTGTTCCTTTTAATTCTGCGATGCAAATGCGACGACCATACTCTTAGTTTCTATCAGAGCGCCGGGCTATGACTTTGTCGTGCGCGGCTTTCCGAGGCCAACCTTTGATTGGTGCTCGGGGTCGTAGCGCAATCTGTGCCATAAGAGGCAACAAAAAGTCCCTGTCAGTGGGACTGGAAGAGAGTACCAGCAGACAAGCAACTGTAGGGTCTGACTTCGAGCGACACCGCCAACGACGGTCTGGCGAACCAACATGACGCTGGGACGGTCTCATGCTTCAGCCGGAGCACGTGCCGCCGAGGCCGCCGTGAGCTGGCTGTCGGGCTGGGCATAACCACTCGGCGGCATCGCGAACAGCTGGTTCAGGTCTGTCGTGATGTGGAGCTGGTCCTGGAAGGGCAGATGCAACAAGACAGGTCTCATGTGCGCTGTCGCTCCAAGAACGTGCAATGACATATCATCACTGCATACGAGAACATCTCAAACGAGAAGATGATGTTGGCACGGACTTGCCGTCAATCATTTGTACTACTACTGGGGCTATGAAGCTACATGATCGTACGATCCAAGGGGATCTTACGTGACCGCCACATTTCGCAAGCAATCCGTCCTTCATCATCGCACATGTTTGATCTAAGAACTTTAGGAACCTATAGTATGAAGCGTAATGCAACGATTGCCAGCATTTGAAATGCACTGGCCCTCCATCCGTGTAAGAATACAGAAGCTCAGACTTCAAGCCCACACCGTGCTGGTAACTTCCTAACGAAATTAAGAAGTTTGAAATCCGTCCACCCTCCATCTGTGCAGGTGTTGGGAATGTTTAGCTTCAGGGCAATAGAGTAAGGACAATTTTCACGATCAACTCCCAGACCGCCGAAGCTGTTTATCAGGGCGAGGGATGCTGGAGAAGGCAGGCCGCAACCTCAGACACAATGCTTCTTCTCGTCGTGGCCGCCTGGGAACCCTCGACGCCATCCTGAGGTCAATTTCATCCCCTCGGCTGATTTCTTCCTTGCGGGGCCGAAAAGAAATCCGCGGACGAGGGAATCATGGAACAACGCAAATCGTGAACTCCTCGCGGGGCCCAGGAAGCTTCAGATGAGGAATGTGTCGGGAACCCGCTGATCCAGGTCAGCGCTACCCCGGGTCAATCAGGGCCATGTCGAGAACCCAATCTTCGAGGAGGGGATCGACTACAACGTCGATTTACCCCCGAACTGATCTTCTCGTCGAATCTACCAGGAACGCGTGGCATCTTCCATGGGTGCGACGCAGAATTCCACGTGGGGGTGAATCCATGAATCCATTCTGCAGTCGATCCCCCACTCCACGTCTGGCCATCGCAGAGAGGGGGAGCGGGGCTGGCTCCGCAACGCTGCGGAAGCCGGGTCGGCCAGACGGGTCTACAGCTGCCCCCCGTCGGTGCTGACCCCCCCCCCTGCTGGGGGTCGGTCCACAACTCGGGCCTCGGGCGTCCGTTCGGGACGATCCCGGCATCCCGAGGGCGCTCGCCACGAGATCGCTCCAGGTCCCGAGCACCTCCGAGAACCTTGCGCACCCTCCGCTGGCGCTGAATCCCCGTGACCTGCTGGAGACCGTTCGGGTGGGGCAGGAGTGCGGCCAGACCCAAAACAGAAAAATATCCTTCAAGAACATGTGACCCTCCGCCGGCGAAACTGAAGAACATATTCGAGGGTACCCTCCCCCAGAAAAAAATACAAGAAACACGAAGAACATTAGGGTACCCTCCCCGAACCGACCTCGATCTTACACCTCGGTCCGACCGTAGATAGGATCGGAGGATCGCACCGCATCGCCAAGGCATCGCCGATGCATCGATGGCGTGGGCGATGCACCGGCGCCGTCGGCGCGGAGAACCTCGGGCTCCACAACGAGCCGCGTCGGCGATGCGCCGGCGAGGCGGCGCACTAGCCAGGACGAGGATATATTCGGGTGAGGGTAAATCGAGAATTTCTGAGATCCAGCGGTTCTGGAGGATGTCTCGGGCGCCGCGGCCTTCTCAGCGCGTTCCAGAACGCTCTGGAATGGGTTTATCCTCGTCCTAGCCCCGCCTCAAACTTGGCCGCCTCTGAAGAAACCAAAAGAAGAGATACCGCCACCGCTACTCCCCAGACCTCTCCTGGGGCGCGTACGGACCAGAATCTCAGGGCGAATCCCGCGGTGGCGACGAGGGCCACCCAGGAGGCCAGAAAAGGCGACACCGAGGCAGGGGCAGCGGCTTATCGGTACCTTTTCCTCCTCTGAGACTCCAGCGGCGAGGCGGCGTCCGTCGCGTTCAGTCGGATCTAGGACACAATAACATCCTGCAAGAGCATGTGGCCCTCCGCTGGCCAGAGCACACAGAACGTCCAGGGGTACCCTCCCCCAGGATGCACAAGAACATCCAACAAATACGCAACAAATACGAAGAACACTAGGGTATCTTCCCCGAACCGACCGCGACACCTCGGTCCGACTGTACCTTTTTGTCCTCTGAGACTCCGGCGGCGAGGCGGCGGCGCGTGGCGCCGCGTAGCCGACGGTGGCCCGTCTCTCAAGGTGGCCCAAGCTGCTCCAAGATGGTCCCGACTTTCTGGCGCTGGCCCCGCCCAGAGAAATGCACACTTCCCAGCGATGCTCAGCCTAGGCAAGGGTGACCTTTGGTGCGCAGCTTGAGGGGGGGAGGAGGAGGAGGAGGAGGAGGAGGAGGAGGAGGAGGAGGAGGAGGAGGAGGAGGAGAGGAGGAGGAGGAGGAGGAGGAGGAGGAGGAGGAGGAGGAGGAGGGGAGGAGGAGGAGGAGGAGGAGGAGGTGAAGGAGGAGGAGAGGAGGAGGAGGAGGAGGAGGAGGAGGAGAAGGAGGAGGAGGAGGAGGAGGAGGAGGAGGAGGAGGAGGAGGAGGAGGAGGAGGGACCACACCCAAGCGCGCAAGCCCATGCTGCTACACCGTGCTCGGCGATCTCGGGGGGCCCCGGTGTTCCCGCGCCACAGGACACTCTGGCCATTTGCAAGGGCCACTCCTGCGCGTACCTAGCCGACCAAAAGGCCTGCGCGGAGCGCTCTGGGGCAGGGCCCGGCGGCCTGCGCTCGCCACCGCCAAAGACGCCCACCCCCCGTGCACTTCCCGGCCTCGCGCGCTTCTTCTCTGCAAGCTGATCCAAAAGATGCTCCTCCCCAGACCCCCGGCGTCATGACTTTTTCATGACGCCGACCTCTTGAGGTTTCGGCCTCTTCCCCGGGCCCGGTTTTTCCTCCCGAATCGTGTCTCGACGGTCCCGAGGCCCGGCAAGGGCCCCCAGAGGCTGAAAATGGTGACGAACCTGCCGTCGTGATTTCCTCTCCCTGCTCGAGGGGGTCTGGGTCGGTGGCCATCGCCGAGCAGGAGGCGCGCGCGCGCGAGCGGTGCCGCGTGCGCGCGCGCGGCGGGTCCTCGCCCTCGGCGGGCCCGCCGCCCTCCTCGCCGCGGCGCCCTGCGCGGGCCCCGCCCCGGCCGCAGTAGCGGTCGAGCTCCCGCGCCAGCGCCCCGGGGGTGAGCACCCTGCCGCGGGAGGGGGGGGAGGCAGGCCGCCCAGACCCCCGACGCCGTGAGTTTTTCATGGCGCCCCCCCCCCCCCCCGCAGAGGTCTGGACCCCTTTCGGCGGCGAGCGAGGGGGGGGAGTGAGAAGGAGAAGGCCTTCTCAGCAGGCGGCGGGACTTCTCAGAAGCCCCTCGCGCCTTCTGAGGTTTAGTTTTTTGTCTTCGGGGAAGGCTCAGAAAACTTTTCAGAATGCAAGGGAACTTCCGAGCCTTCTGCGAAGGCCTTCTCCTTCTCACTTCCGCCCCTCGCTCGCCGCCGACCCTTCCCGGGGACCGGTTTCTCTTCCCGAGTCGTTTTTTGACGGCCCCGAGGCCCAGTAAGGGCCCCCCAGAGGCCGAAGATGGCGAAACACCTCCCGCCGTGATTTTTTTTCATTGCGCGAGGGGTCTGGGCCTGACCACGGGGGGGGAGGCAGGCAGGCGGGCAGGCAGGCAGGCAGGCAGGCAGGCAGGAGGACAAGCAAGCAAGAAGACACACCGACAGGCGGACATCCCGCACCGCCAGAGGGCCGGCCCCGCACGGGACATGGGAGGAAGCATGCGTGCAGAGCGTCCTCTCGGGGATGCAGCCAACCCGCATGCAAAAGGATGCGCGCTAAGGATGCATGAGGGCCTTGGACGCCCCTTTCGAGGCTTTTCGAGCGGGGCGCGGCCAGCGAAAGTGGCCAAGGATGGACCGAGGAGGCCAAGATGCAAGGGTACCCTTGGGAAGGTCGCCCATCCTTACTGTGCGGGTGGACCGTGGAGAGCACGCGGCTTCCGAAGGTCTGCCGCCTGGTGCCAGCCTGGCCTCCGAGCGTGGGAGACGACGGGATCGAGCAGCGGGCGCCGACGCCGAGGCGGGGCAGGAACGAGAGGGCGGCGTCGGGCCTCCGGAGGCCCCAGGACTGTCGCGAGCCGGAGGCCTGCGGCGCCATCGGCCTCCGAAGGTCCAATCTCGGGACCCGAGGGCCGTCAAAGGGGCACTCCTGGACGAACCCAAACCGATCACGACGAGGGGGTTGAAAACTCCGGGGTCCCGAGACTCCCAAATATCGCGTCGTCGGAGATCTGGGGCGGAGGGGGCTGGGCGCGGACGGAGGCGGGGTCGGGGGACACGGAAGCAGAGGGTGAGGGGAAATGGGGTGGGATTTGGAAAAAGGTGGGGGCAAAGGGGAGCAGGGAAATGGTGGGGGGAAATGGTGGGTCGATGGCTGGGGGGAAGGATAATGGGGAAGGGCGGGGAGGGGGGAGGAAAAACTTGGAGAATGCGGAAGTGGGGTGGCGGGCGAAAAAGGAAGTGGGTGGGGGTGGCGGTGAGGGGGAACTGGAACAAAAGGGGAGGGGTGGAGAAGGAAAAGCGGGGAGGTGACTGGGCGGCTGGGGGACGGGGGGGAAATTCTTGTGCTGCGCGCGCCCGCGTGCCAAGCGGTGGCGAATCCTTGCGCGCTTTATTTGACAGCGCTGGCACGGAAACTATTCGACTTCTTATTTTAATAAACTCGGGAGGGTATAGGATCCCGGCATGCGCGCGCGGGGGCCTGCCTAGTCTGCTTGAGCAGATACTGATTTGTTCATCTGGTGTGGGGAAAAGCCCAACAAGCTTGCCTGTGTTATTGAACATCAATTTGTTTCCACAAAATTTCAAACAAAACTCGGTCATAACATGTTCAGAAACACTTTTTGCAACGAATTCGATTTGCGCGCGCGGGGCCCGTGCGGTATTGTCTGATGCGTGCTTGCAAAGCGCGCGTGCTGGATCAACTCGCGTGCGCCGCGTGGTATCCTTTGACGTCGATGGCGGGCGGGGTGGTTGAGAATTGAGTTTGGGCAGTAGCTTTTCGCAAGCACGGGTGGCGATCGCGCAGAATTGATGTGGGCGCGCAGTGCTTGGGCGGGAGCCTTGAATCCACGGCCTTTGCGCGGGGGGGCGCTCATATTTCTCTACCGCCGATAAGCGCAACCTGCGCGCGCACTCAGGAATGCTGGCTAACGCGCAAAGCGCCCTCGATGCGCAAGCGGGCGCCCAGTGGGCGAAGGCCCGGAAACGCCAACCAACGCGCGGAACGCCCGCCAGGCGCCCGCGGGCGCCGACTGGGCGCACATCCAAAGCTGCGCGCCTGCCGGGCGAAAAGAATTGCACAACAGTTGGTGACAACAAACATGAGACCCTGCAAAACCGTCAAATCTCTAGATAAAATTGCTCAAATGGGCGCGTCCGCCGCGCGCGCGGCGGCCCTGGCGCGCTCTGCAGGAGAAGGCGCGGTGCTCGAGGGGGTTCGGGGCCGCCGCGCGCGCGGCGGTCCCGGGGTGCTTCAGCGCGTGCAATCAACGCGCGTGAAAGGGCAAAGGCCGCCGCGCGCGGCGCGCGCTGCGCGGAGCGTGCACTGCGCGAAAGGAGTGGGGCCGCCGCGCGCGCTGTCGCCTGGGCGCGAGGGGGCGCGGCTGCCGTTCGCGGGCGGGGCCTGCATGGGGAAGACGCAGTGCGCGTTGGGGCGGGGTCGACGTGCCCTCTCTTTATGTCGCTCTTTCGTTAGATACTTGTGTATCCATGTTTTTTGTTGTTGTTATCTCTCTCTTTCTCTTACTCTCTCTCTCTCTCTCTCCCTCTCTATCCCGGTTTTTCTACCTCTCCTGCAATGCAGGGGCAGGAAAAGGCGGGGCGGGATTTTGGGATATGGGCACGTCGGTAGACGACGACGGCGGCGAGGGCAGCAACGTGGTCGGGGGGGGGGGGGGGGGCGAGAGGGGAAGCGAGGGCGAGGGCGAACAGCTCCTGGCCATTCGTGCCGCGGAGGCTGGAGACGTCGCGAGCGCGCGCCCCCTCGCCGCGGGAGGCTCGGAACGTCGAGAGAGCGAGAGGAAACGTGCCCTTGGAGACGGGAAGGCGCGCGGAAGAGCTCCCGCAAGCCGGCGGGGGGGGGCGGGGGCGCGTCGTGCCGCCGTGTGCGCCGCGGATCAGGCACCACCGCTGTGCCCCTCTCTCGCGTGACAGGCCCGCAGGGCGGCCCACTTCCCGGCGGGCTTCCGCTGGAGCCCCGCAGTGCCCTTGGTGACGGTCGCGTTGGTATTCTGCAGGCGCTGGGTCAACGTGGCGGGAGATGGCGGCGGCGCTAAGAAGTGCCCCTCAAGGGTCCAGCTCACCGATGGCCGACCTGGCACGAAGCGGTTTCCTTCCACCGCGCTGCAATGCGTGTCTCCGCCAGCTCCTGGTCTGCCTGCTGCCCTGACCGACAAGAGTATGCGCGGCGTGGAAACTCAGTCCTCGCTGGCAGAGCAACTGGCGTTCCTTGTCAGAGCCTCTGAAATAAATCTACCGTCGACGATGATGCCGAGGTAGCGCGCGTGGGTGCTGGTGCACCTGCGCTCGCTTGAATCGTGCCCAATGTTCCAAATGGCCGCCCCCCGCCCGCTCATTTTGCTCGCGTGACCGCCGTCACCGCCGCTGTCGTAGTCGCCATCTCTGTCGCTGCCCATGCCGTTGTCGCCATTGCTGTCGTCGTCGGCGCGTTGTCGCGCGCGCGGACCCACGCCGCGCGCGCGCCGATCGCTCCTGGCAGCCGAAAGCACAAATCTAATCCGCTGGCGGTGTCGCGCGGACACGGGCAAGGAGACGTCGCGCGCGAGGGCGCAGCAGCGCGTCGGGGAAATGTGATGCCGCCTCGCAACCAGATTGGCCGAGCGGTGGGGGGAGGTGGAGGAAAGTCCCAAACCTCCTCGCGTTGTAATAGAATTGCGACTGATTTTTTTCCCAACCCCCCTGTGGTTGGGTACTCGTTTTGAATAGCGCAGTGTGATCGCCCGTCCTCCTCCTCCTCCTCCTCCTCCTCCTCCTCCTCCTCCACTCTCCTCCCCTCCTCCTCTCCTGTTTCCTGTGTTCCCCTCTCCTCTTCTCTCGTGCCGTCGGGCTTGCGATCTGCGCAACTGTCGCCACTTCCGTGGGCTCCTGGGAGGCCCAGCGGAGGTGGGTCCCACGCGGATCACCTCGGTACCTCGCCGCCCCCCTGGGGGGCTTGCGATCTGCGCAACTGTCGCCACTTTCGTGGGCTCCTGGGAGGCCCAGTGGAGGTGGGTCCCACGCGGATCACCTCGGTACCTCGCCGCCCACTGGGGGGCTTGCGATCTGCGCAACTGTCGCCACTTTCGTGGGCTCCTGGGAGGCCCACCGGAGGTGGGTTCCACGCGGATCACTTAGGTACCTCGCCGCCCCCTGGGGGACTTGCGATCTGCGCAACCGTCGCCACTTTCGTGGGCTCCTGGGAGGCCCAGCGGAGGTGGGTCCCACGCGGACCACCTCGGTACCTCGCCGCCCCCTGGGGGGCTTGTGATCTGCGCAACCGTCGCCACTTTCGTGGGCTCCTGGGAGGCCCAGCGGAGGTGGGTCCGACGCGGATCACCTCGGTAGCTCGCCGCCCCCTCTGGGGGGCTTGCGATCTGCGCAACCGTCGCCACTTTCGTGGGCTCCTGGGAGGCCCAGCGGAGGTGGGTCCCACGCGGATCACCTCGGGACCTCGCCGCCCCCTGAGGGGCTTGCGATCTGGGCCCCACGCGGATCACCTCGGTAGCTCGCCGCCCCCTGGGGGCTTGCGATCTGAGCAACCGTCGCCACTTTCGTGGGCTCCTGGGAGGCCCAGCGGAGGTGGGTCCCACGCGGATCACCTCGGTAGCTTGCCGCCCCCTGGGGGGCTTGCGTTTCTGCGCAACCGTCGCCACTTTCGTGGGCTCCTGGGAGGCCCAGCGGAGGTGGGTCCCACGCGGACCACCTCGGTAGCTCGCCGCCCCCTGGGTGGCTTACGACGTGCGCAACTGTCGCCACTTTCGTGGGCTCCTGGGAGGCCCAGCGGAGGTGGGTCCCACGCGGATCACCTCGGTACCTCCCCGCCCCCTCGGGTGGCTTGCGATCTGCGCAACTGTCGCCACTTTCGTGGGCTCCTGGGAGGCCCACCGGAGGTGGGTCCCACGCGGATCACCTCCGTAGCTTGCCGCCCCCTGGGGGGCTTGCGATCTGCGCAACTGTCGCCACGTTTGTGGGCTCCTGGGAGGCCCAGCGGAGGTGGGTCCCACGCGGACCACCTCGGTAGCTCGCCGCCCCCTGGGGGACTTGCGGTCTGCGCAACTGTCGCCACTTTCGTGGGCTCCTGGGAGGCCCAACGGAGGTGGGTCCCACGCGGATCACCTCGGGACCTCGCCGCCCCCTGAGGGGCTTGCGATCTGCGCAACCGTCGCCACTTTCGTGGGCTCCTGGGAGGCCCAGCGGAGGTGGGTCCCACGCGGATCACCTTGGTACCTCGCCGCCCCCTGTGGCTTACGACCTGCGCAACTGTCGCCACTTTCGTGGGCTCCTGGGAGGCCCAGCGGAGGTGGGTCCCACGCGGATCACCTCGGTAGCTTGCCGCCCCCTGGGGGGCTTGCGATCTGCGCAACCGTCGCCACTTTCGTGGGTTCCTGGGAGGCCCAGCGGAGGTGGGTCCCACGCGGATCACCTTGGTACCTCGCCGCCCCCTGGAAGATTTGCGATCTGCGCAACTGTCGCCACTTTCGTGGGCTCCTGGGAGGCCCAGCGGAGGTGGGTCCCACGCGGATCACCTCGGTAGCTCGCCACCCTCTGGGGGGCTTGCGATCTGCGCAACCTTGCGATCTGCGCAACCGTCGCCACTTTCGTGGGTTCCTGGGAGGCCCAGCGGAGGTGGGTCCCACGCGGATCACCTTGGTAGCTCGCCGCCCCCTGGGGGACTTGCGATCTGCGCAACTGTCGCCACTTTCGTGGGCTCCTAGGAGGCGGAGGTACGTCCCACGCGGACCACCTCGGTAGCTCGCCGCCCCCTGGGGGGCTTGCGATCTGCGCAACTGTCGCCACTTTCGTGGGCTCCTGGGAGGCCCAGCGGAGGTACGTCCCACGTGGATTATTCGGAGGTACGTCATACGCGATTCTTTCAACGCCCCTGTGTTTCCATTTTGTATAATTGCCGTTCCTCTTCTTGCTGCGCTCTTCTGAAAGCACTATTGGGTGCTCTTCTTGCGCACTGCGGGTCCTTCAGAATGCCAGTCAGCTTTGAGTGGTCCTGAATATAATCGCCACATGTATAGAAAGGGTTGGGTACGTCACAAGGTAATTTTATGCTATTTTCGGCATCTGGGGGCCCTTCCTGGGCCTCGGGACCGTCAAAAGACGACTCAGGATGAAAAACCGGAGCCCGTGAAGGGGTCCAGACATCTGGGAGTCGACGTTGTGAAAAAGTCACTATGTCGGGGGTCTGGGGAGCGGGAGGGGGGTTCTCGACTCGCTGGTGGCTGTCTTGGGTGCTCGGGCTCCCTACGTGCTCGCGGTCATGTAAGACTGTCGGGGGGGGACTCTTCTGGCCATCGATGCGGCGGTAAGTGGGAGTACAGTCGGGAACCCGCGCTTAACGTGCCGTGCTATGCCTTGCGAGTCGCTCCGCAACGCGTTGTGGGTGTCTGGGAAAAAGCTCAGGACGCTGACTCTTGAGAGTGGGGACGCGGATAGCGTGTCGCGCCGAAGCGTGGGGGGTCAGAACCGGAAGAGCGACACTCTAAGCCAAAGTTCCTGACCGTAGGAGTAGGAATAGCAGGAGGAGGAGGAGGAGGAGGAGGAGGAGGTGGAGGAGGAGGAGGAGGAGGAGGAGGAGGAGGAGGAGGAGGAGGAGGAGGAGGGGCGACGAGGAGGAGGCACGACGATGACGCCGTGGAGCAACGACGATGGCCCGCACGCTTCTCCAGGCCCCGTGGCGGCTCCTGAGCAGGAGCCTGTCCGTCAAGGCCTCCTCGTACTGGGCCGGGTACATGGCTCGGATGGGCTCCTGCTGCTGGGCGGCTGCACATCCCGACCACCCACTCGGTAAGGCCGAGGGCCGCAACGGCGCGTGATCCAGCGAGTCATCAGATCACCCTGCGGACCGACCGTCTGGCAAAAAGCCTCTGGAATCGGAGAGCGCATCGGGAGATCGGCCCAACCCGCCGGCCGCAGGTTGGCGGTGTAGCAAGAAACAGGCTCAGCAATTCCACATCTGGGTATGCTGCTAGGCTGTGGAGAGTGGACAGACAGCGACCGCGGAGCCCTTCTCCTGCTGCTGCTACTTCTCCCAGGGGCAGCCCAGAATTGGTCTATGGCCACGTGCCCTCGCGTGAGGCTCTCACTCCCTCTCTCTCTCTCTCTCTCTCTCCCTCTCTCAGCCCCTTCTGGAGGGCACCTTGACTTTGCCGCCCGAGCGGCTCACCTGCTCCACAGCCGCGTGGTGTGCCACGTGTCTGGATTCTGGTGGGCGCTCCCTCTGTGATCCGACGAACCGTCGGAGACCCTCGCCAACGCTGGCTCCCCTCTCAGTCCGACCCTCCAGGGGGTCCGTGCCAGCGCTGCCACGCTTCGAGCAGGCGGCTCGACACCTGCGCCCGTGCAGGTCTCTACCAGGAGGCCAGCCGTACACCTGGCTGGCTGCACACTCGCAGGAGGAGCGCGCGGAGGCCGCGCGCAGCAAACCAGTGCGGAAGCCCGCGCGCACCTGGCCAGAGGGGCCGCACGCTGGAGAGACATCTGGCCACGTGCGCGCCCGGCTCTCGCTCAGGCTGGCCGCGTCACGTGCACCCAGCTTCCTGTGAGACACACTCCACCGCCCCACCAGCGGAAGCAATTGAGCCTGGCCCGATCCAAGCAAAGGGGTGCGGCGAAGAAGTGGGCCAGAGATTCTGAGCGGGCGAGGGAGCATCTTGGCTATAGAGGCTCGAGGCTTGGCACCGTAACGCCTCCGCGAAAAAAAGCACGCACCTGCCTCAATCTTCCCTCAAACGGCTGAATCGAACAGCTACCAGTCATCGCGCGCTTTGGTCTTGCTCGTGGTTTTGGGGGGCTGGGTGCGGAGCCCTCGACTTTGGACACCCGAAATGGGTACGGAAAAATCCGCCGACCTTATGTCGGCGTGTGGAAGAAGCTCTTCTGTTCTTCTCTGTTCCCTCTGAGGCTGTCCTGAGGGTCAGAAACGACGCTTCTCCCAGGAAACCTGCGAATCCCGCGGTTCCACCAAATTCCGTAAAGACGTCGAGGGAAGCCCCTTCCCTTTTGTCCCTTCCCGCCGGGGAGGGGGGGGGGCCCGGGGAAGTCCTGGGTCAGATACTTACGCTTCCCCCCCGGGCGGTTCGGCTTGGCCCCAGCATGTCCTCCCGCAGGCAGATTTTGGAAGAAACCGAAAAATAGTCCAAACATATTCGAAAATAGTCAAAAGAGCAAGAACCATCGCCCCCATACTATTTTTGGACTGCTCTTGACTATTCCTCCTGTAAAAAGACACGCCAGACTTAACCATAGATCCGCGACGCGAAGCCGCCTCCGGCAACTGGGGGCGCTCGGGCGGCCCCGCCGAGGAGGCCCCGGCGGCGCGTGGACCCCGACGGCGACCTCCCCGCGCGTGCCTGCGCGAGGCGCGCGGGGTCTGATCGCTCAGCCTGGCGGCTCCATCCCCCTCCCTCCGCAGGGGTAGCGACAGGGAGGGGCGCTGGCTCAAGGGGGTGAAACGTCGACCTGGGATCGGCGATGCAGCGGGCACGGCGTGACCGACCCCTGGCGAACCGTCTCCTTCCGTGGCGTCACCCTCGCCCTTCAAGCTCCCCTCCGGCCGCGCACATGGTTGCGCCTCGGGGCGAGGCGAGGGGGACGCCACGGAAAGGGGATGCTCTGCGATGGGTCGGTCAGGCCGCCCTGGAACACACCGCCGATCGACCGCCGACAGGCCCGCGACGGCAGAGCCGCGCGTTCTGGGTCAGAGGCGGGGGCGCCTTGGCCCCGGTCGGCGAGGCATGGGCCACTGGGGGCTCGAGGCCCCTTCCCCCCCCCTCCCGTGGGGCCCTGGAAGCGACGAGGCAGCTCTTGGCCTGCTCTGGCGCCGATGCTCTCCCGGCTCCGTCGCCCTGTTCTCCGCTTCTGGTTCCAGCTCCACTGCTGGGGCAACTGTGTTCACTGTGCCCAGGCATACTTTTGGTGCAAGAGAGCATGTTTTCATGTTCGCGAATGACGGGGCCCAAGGACACACCAACAAATAGGCACACGTCCAGCATCCCGATATTTTTTTGTTTTTTTGTTTGAATGTCGTCTTCCCCCCATGGTTCCCATAATTTCCCATGTGTCATTCCCAGACCTCCGACGTCGTGATTTTTTCACAACGTCGACCCCCAGGTATCCGGACCCCTTCCCGGGGACTGTTTTTTCATGCTGAATCGTTTTTTGACGGTCCCGAGGCCCGGGAAGTGCACCCGAAGGCCGAAAATGGTGGAAAACCTCACGTCGTATTTTTTTTACAGCGCGAGGTCTGGGTTTGGGATCGACGAATATTTGCGTCTGTGTGAATTTTCCCCCCTGTCGGTGCCCCTGACTTCCTGTGGGAAATGCAAGAGGTACTGTTACCGCTACGCTTAGGACGGGCATGTCCTCCTACAGGTGGATTTTGGAACACAAAAATCAAGAACTTTCCCAAATAATCAGAAGTTAGTAGCAAAATCGTCACCAGACTTTTTTTTGCCTGTTCTTGAATGTTCCTCCTGTAGACGGACATGCTCGACGTAACGCTACGCCCCAAACCTCGCCCAAGGTGCCTTCTGACCAGGACTTCGCGAGGCGAATCCAGCCGTGGCGAAGAGGCAGGGCGAAAACAAGGGAGAGGTAGAACTATCGGTACCTTCTCCTCCTCCGACCCTCCCTCCCCGACCGCACCGAGGGGGGCTCCAGCGCCCGCAGCGCCTGCATGGTGGGCGCGCCGCACACCAGCTGGGCGCGGTCCGCGACCACGACCGAAGCGGCCTGCCGTATCTGCGAGGACCGGTTCTCCTCGGCAAGGGGCCGGGCGCTCGGGGGGGGGGGCGCCCTGAGGCTCGCCTTCCCTGCAGGTTTCTGTTTTGTATCCTAAGAGGCCGCGCCAACTACATGTGGCAGGCAAAGAAGATACGTCCCCCGAAGGGGGCACGCTCGCAGACAAAGGGGGCGCGTATCGAGGGTTGAAACGCGAGCAGCGAAAAACCATCTAGTCTTAATAGGGTTGAATCCACACTTGTGGAAAATGAATATGGTTGATTCCCCCTGGTAACACGTGTTTTTCACTTGAGTTGCCCTCTTGGGGCTCGCACACTGTTTTTAAAAAAGCAAGTCTCGGGTCTCCGAACACTGCCCCTTGCCCCCAAGTTACAATTACAGCGGCTCCCGCGTAATATTTACAACTTATTGAAGAATCGCGCTATAACTCGAATTTGCCAAGGAATCGCGCTCTCGCTTGGGACTTCCTTGCGATTTATTCAGGCGCCGCGCCATCGATCCTCAAGAATCACGCCCCTGGGCTCTGGTGTAGACAGGAGCAGCTCCCGCCTGATACTTCCTCGCAATCAGCGTGGACTCTCTCGAGATCTCCTCACAATGTACTCAAGACTCGTGCTCTCTCGCCTCGGACTTCCGTTGGAATTTCCTCAGGCGCTGCGCCCTCGACACCCAAGCGTCGCGTTCTCGCCCAAGACTTCCTTGCAACTTACCCTCCGACCCGCCCGCTATGGCCCGCTCGGTCGTTCGCTCGGAAGCCCGCCCACCAATTTCAAATTAGCCTGGCGAAGGACCCAACCATATGCAATTGTGAGTCGCGCAGTTGTGAATACCGTTCTCGGTGGAGCTCCCTGTAGGGCCACGAAAGATGTGAGGGGTGTGCCGAAATGAGTGGCGGGGGCGCCTGCGGGCTGCGCCACTGGGACCTTCGGCGGAGCTCCTGTGGGGCCACGAAGCATGCGAGGGGTGTGCCGAAATGAGTGGCGGGGACGCATGCGAACTGTGCCACTGGGACCTTCGGCGGAGCTCCTACGGGACCACGAAGCGTGTGAGGGATGTACCGAAACGGATGGCGGGGATGTGTGCTAACTGTGCCACAACGGGCGGAACTTCTATGGGGCCACGAAACCTGTGAGAGGTGTGCGGACATGAATGGCGGGGACGCGTGCGAACTGTGCCACTGGGATCTTCGGCGGAGCTCTTATGGGGCCACGAACCGTGTGAGGGGTGTGCCGACATGAATGGCCGGACGCATGCGAGCTGTGCCACTGGGACCTTCGGCGGAGCTCCTACTGGGCCACGGAACGTCTGAGGAATGTGCCGAAATGAATGGCGGGGACGCATGCGAACTGTGCCACTGGGACCTTCGGCGGAGCTCCTACGGGACCACGAAACGTGTGAATGGCGGGGACGCATGCGAACTGTGCCACTGGGGCCTTCGGCGGAGCTCCTATGGGGCCGCGAAACGTGTGAGGGATGTACTGAAATGATCAGCGGGGACGCATGCGAACTGTGCCACTGGCACCTTCGGCAGAGCTCTTGTGGGCCACGAGACCTGAGGGGTGTGCCGAAATGAGTGGCGGGGACGCATGCGAACTATGCCACGGGGACCTTCGGCGGAGCTCCTATGGGGCCACGGAGCGTGTGAAGGATGTGCGCCGAAATGAATGGGGGGTACGCGTGCGAACTGTGCCATTGGGACCTTCGGCGGAGCTCTTATAGGGCCACGAAGCGTGTGAGAGGTGTGCCGAAATGAGTGGCGGGGGCGCATGCAAACTATGCCACTGGGACCTTCGGCGGAGCTCCTGTGGGGCCACTAAATGTGTGAGGGGTGTGCCAAGGTGAGGGGGGTGACGGGAAGAGAGAGGAAGGGGGGGAGGAGGAAGGAAGGAGAACGCGGGGACCGTCTCTTCAAAACGAGGGCCCAACACCACAAGATGGTTGGGAAATTTCCTGCCAATCCCGCCCGTCAGGGTCCGCCCGCCCGACCCGCCCGTCAGGGCTTGCCCGTTCACGTGCTTGGAAGTCCGCCTGCCCGCTTTGATGCCCAACCCACCCGACCCGCCCGTCAAGGTCCGTTCGCCCGACCCGATCGTTAAGGCTGACCCGCCCGACCCGCCCGTCAGGGTCCGCTTGCCAAAATTATGATTCCTCTCTACCCCCCCCTCCTGCTAAATCTTCTTCGATCTCAGTAATCCTCCCTTCCTCTTGCCCTCCTCCCTTTTCGTTGCCTCCTCCCTTCCTCGCTTTCTCCCTCTTCTTTTTCCTTCCTCCTCCCACGGTACGGACCGCTCCAACGTGGCACGCAAAGAATCTTTACTCCCGAAGGGGGTGTGATCGAAGACGAAGAGGGCGGGTATCGAGGGTTTGGGGTATATACATACATGTCACATGACACGCGGCTAACGAAGAGAACGAACAATCCTACCATTGTTGAGCTCTCGTGTCTGAAACACGAATGTGCTTGACCCCCCCCTCCGGTGCACTTTGTCTCGCACATGTTCTTTTGCACACGGGAAAGAGAATACCTGGCCTGAGTTGACTCGTGCCGACTTTGGCCGAGACTCTGCCAGCAAGGCCGACCCCGTTTGACTTTCGCGAACTTCCGCGGGCCGTCCGTCGTGAACGAGAGGTCAACCTCTCGAGCCATCGAGGACGAAGCCCTTCGGGAACGCCCTGCGCGCATCTGAGCTAAGCTCGGGAGCCGAAGGGACCCATGCCTCCGTCGTCGTGCTCCCGTTTCACGGCGTGGGCTCCCTGAGATCTTGACCCCATTCCCGGGGCAATGTTTCCTCGCGGGTCGTCCTTTTGCAAGCCCTTGCCCCCCCAAAGAGGCCTCTCGGTGCCGAGACGGTCACAGAACGTCCGTCGTGTTTGTTGTTTATAACCCTCCTGTGTGGAGTTGGATTCTCGTCATGAGTCCGCAGCGGCACGGGTCCACTCCTCCTTCCTCCTCCTCTCCCTCCTCCCGTCCTCCTGGACCTCCTCATGTCATTCCCAACCCTCTTATGTGGAATCCCACCAGCCTTTTAGGGAGTAGGTGGTCTAGGGTGCTTTGTCTTCCAATCTGCCCCTATTCCCCTTCGGTGAGGGATTTTTCACTGTTCCCTATAAATAAAAAACACCCCCTCCCCCACCCGGCCGACAGCCAACCCGGAACCATGCGCACACCATAAGGGCCTCCTCCCACCATCCCTGTCAAACAACTATACAAAATGCGCATTGCGGGGCGGGGCCCACCCTGCCAACACCCTCCACAATCCCTGCCAAAAAACAATACGAAGTGCACATTGCAGCAAGATCTGGACAATGCGCTGGCGCCTTGTGAGCACGTTGTATTGTTTTTTGACAGGGATGGCGGGGCACCCTTAGTGAGTCCGCTTTGTGCAGGACCACCATCCGTGTCAAAAACAATGCAAAGTGCACGTTTCGACAACGTCTTGGGTATTGTGCTGGCCACCCGCAATCACTTTATATTGTTTTTGACAGGGACGGCGGTGGTGGTGTTAGGGCGTCCAAAACGGCCTCGGTGAGGAAGCCCAAATCATTGGTTTTACTAAGGTTTTGGCCCCATTTTGGCCCCTTGCTTGGGCACCGAATTGAAGCTCCCCTCTTGCTTGATCGACGTCCTCCAAGATGGCCCCAAGAGCGCTCCCAATGCTCCCAGGAGCGCTTCAAGAGGCCCCAAGAGGCGCCCAGGAGGCCCCAGGAGGCCCTAAGAGGCGCCCAAGAGGCCTCCAAGAGGCTCCCAGAAGACCTCCAAGAAGCCCCAATAAGCTCGCCGAGGCACCCAAGACGCTCCAAGAGGCCTCCGGGACCGCCAAGAGGCCCCCAAGACGCTCCAAGAGGCCTCCACTGGGGGACCCTTCCTCTGCGTGCTGCCCACTTCCCTGATCGAGGCAACTCCTCTGGGCATCGTTTCTCGATGGGCTGGTGGGGTTACGCGAAGCGTCTAGAGTTCGCTCCTCGTCCCCAACCCTCCTCCTGTCTGGAGTTTGGTCTTCGGTTTGAATCCGCAGCGCCGCGCGTCTCCTCACCTACTCCTTCCACCTCCTCCTCATTTACTTCCTCTTTCCTCTGCTCTCGGCGTGTCCATGTCTGCACACCCCTCACAGTGTCGTGCACCGAAGGGGAACTCTGCCTACGGTCCCAGTGGGAGGGTTCACATGCGATCTCCCCGCTCATTTCGGCATATCCCTCACGCGAATCGTGCACCATAGGGACCCCAATCCACGCTTCGCCGCCCATTTCGGCACAAAGGTAGTTTGTATCCCAACCATCCTGTGTTGGGATCTCGTTTTGAAAAGACAGCACCCCACGTCCATCTCTCCTCTCCTTCCTCGCCCCCCTCCTCGCTCCCTCCTCAATCCTCCCATCATCACCACCATCATCATCATCATCATCATCATCATCATCATCATCATCATCATCATCATCATCATCATCATCAGCATCATCATTCTCATCATTCTCATCATTATCAGCATCATCATCAGCATCAGCATCAGCAGCATCATCAGCATCAGCAGCAGCATCAGCATCGGCATCGGCATCAGCATCATCATCATCATCATATCATCATCATCTAGACATCATCATCATCATCACACCATCATCATCATCGTTATCATCATCATCATCATCATCATCATCATCATTATCATCATCAACATCATCATACTCATCGTCATCAAACTCGTCACCGTCACCGTATTCACCATCGTCATCACCATCATCGTCATTGTTCCCCGCCCATTCCTGCACGCCCTCATACGGTTCGTGGCCCATAGAGAGCTCCACCGAAGGCCCCAGTGGCAAGGTTCGCATGCAGTTTTACCATCATCTCGGCGCACCCCTCACACGGTTCGTGGCCCTATAGGGGGCTCCACCGAATGCCTCAGTGGCAAGGTTCGCATGCGTTTCCACCCTCATTTCGGCGCACCCCTCACAAGGCTCGTGCCCCCATAGGGAGCTCCACCGAAGGCCCGTGGCAGGGTTCGCATGCAGTTCCACCTTCCTTTCGGCGCACCCCTCACACGGTTCGTGGCCCATAGGGAGCTCCACTGACGGCCTCAGCGGCAGTGCTCGCATGCGGTTCCACCCTCATTTCGGCGCACCCCTCAAACGGTTCGTGGCCCCATAGTGAGCTCCACCGAAGGCCACATTGGCAAGGTTCGTATGCAATTCCACCCTCATCTCGTCGCACCCCTCAAACGTTTCGTGGCCCCACAGAACGCTCCACCGCATGCCTCATTGGCAGGATTCGCATGCAGTTCCACCCTCATTTCGGCGCACCCCTCACACGGTTCGTGGCCCCATAAGGAGCTCCACCGACGGCCTCATTGGCAGTGCTCGCATGCGGTTCCACCCTCATTTCGGCGCACCCCTCACACGGTTCGTGGCCGCATAGGGAGCTCCACCGAAGGCCCTAGAGGCAGGGTTCGCATGCAGTTCCACCCTCATTTCGGCGCACCCCTCACACGGTTCGTGGCCCGTAGGGAGCTCGACCGAAGGCCTCAGCGGCAAAGTTCGCATGCAGTTCCGCCCTCATTTCGGTGCCCCTTTCACACGGTTCGTGGCCCCATAGGGAGCGCTCCACCGAAGGCCACATTGGCAGGATTCGCATGCAGTTCCACCTTCCTTTCGGCGCACCCCTCACACGGTTCGTGGCCCCATAGGGAGCTCCACCGAAAGCGGTACCCACATTGCGGTACTCGCAGCTGCATATGGTTGGGTCATTCGTCAGGCTAATGTTTTTCGCTGGTTCTCGGATGTAATCACAGTTTCTTGGCATGTCTGGTCGAGCACCTACGGGAGGGGCGAGGAATGACGGAGGACGGGACAAAACTGCCTTGACATAAAATGCACGCAATGCCAAGCCAGCTGGCGAAGCACGTGCAGAAGAAAAGAAGGATGCCAAAGGACGCAAGGCAAACTGTCTTGATAAATTCGCTGGCCCAACGGGCCAAGGGCGTGCGAAGATCTCCGGTAACAGGTCGACAGATGCTAGCAGTAACTCCGTATGGCGAAATCGGGAACACGCTGTTTGAAAAGCGAACGCGCGGTTGGGCCCAAACGGCCCTCGGAGGCCAGAAACCGGCATCCTCCGCGGGAACGAAGACAAACAGTCTCAGGCAAACCCTGCTCAACAACCACCGCGACCAGAGGCATGGCCAACTGCCACCGCGACCAGAGGCAGGGCCACCTGCCACCGCGACAACCACCGCGATCAGAGGTAAGGCGCGACAGCCACCGCGATCAGAGGTAGGGCGCGACTGCAAACGAAAAGAGGCCGCCAGCCGTGCAGGCCCCGGCAAGGCCGATCGCAGCACGGAAGGGAACAGTCGGTCGTGAAAAAAATCAAATCCGCATGAACTGCGATGATGACTCTGAAACCGTCCCCCGCCGGAATTCTGCGGAGGGGGGGGGAAAAACAGACGCCACCTTCGACGGCGTCTGTGCTCTAGGGCAGAACGAGAGAGCTAGAAGGCTCGGGGAGAGAAGCGGCGCTCTCTGGCGGGAAAGAACAGGCCTCCCCCGCGGGAGCGAAGACGACATATCCAGGCAAACCCTGCTCGACAGCCACCGCGACCAGAGGCAGGGCCAACAACCACAGCGAAAAGCTCGGTCGTATGAACTGCGACATTGGCTCTGGAGCCGTCCTCCGCTGGAACGCTGCAGGGGGAGCGGAACAGCAGACGCCGCCCTTCGACGGCGTCTGCGGCCTGAGGCTGAACAAACTGTCACGGACGGGCTTCGATTCTTCCACGGCGAGCCACGTCCCCGGCGCAACTCGACCCCTCAACGCCCCCCGGAGCTGCACGGTTTTCCCCGGGGCCGTAGGCGACCCGAGGAGGAGGAGGAGGAGGAGGAGGAGGAGGAGGAGGAGGAGAAGAGGAGGAGTAGGAGGAGGAGGCAGGAGGAGGAGGAGGAGGCAGGAGGAGGCCGAGCGAGGAGGAGGAGGGAGGAGGGAGGTGACGGGAGAGGGAGGAGGTAGGATGGAGGCTAGGAGGGGAAGGCGATGGGAGGGAGGGAGGAGGGAGGAGGGAGGAGGGGAGGAGGGGAGGAGGCGAGGAGGGGCGGAGGAGGAGGGAGGAGTTTCAGCGAGGGGAGGAGGAGGAGGGAGGAGGAGGGATGAGGGAGTGAAGGAGAGGAGGGAGAGAGGGAGGGGGAGGACGGAGGAAGGGAGGAGGAGAAGGAGGAGGGAGATGCTGGATGGATGGATGGAGGATGGAGGGAGGGAGGGAGGAGGAGGAGAAGGAGGAGTGTGGGAGGAGGGGGAGGAGGAGGAGGAGGAGAGGAGCGAGGAGGAGAGGAGGAGGAGGAGGAGCAGGAGGAGGAGGAGAGAGGAGGAGGAGGAAGGAGGAGAGGAGGAGGAGGAGGAGGAGGAGGAGGAGGAGAGGAGGAGGAGGATGGAGGATGGAGGATGGAGGAGGGAGGAGGGAGGAGGGAGTAGGGAGGAGGGAGGAGGGAGGATGCGGGGTAGGGAGGAGGGAGGGGGAGGTGGGAGGAGGGAGGAGGAGGCGGTTAGGAGGGGTTTGGTCTAGGGAGGAGGGAGGGGGAGGATGAAGTGACTCGGGAGGAGGGAGGGAGCGCGGGGAGGGAGCGTAGCGTAGGTGATGGAGGGGGAGGAGGGGGAGGAGGGAAGGCGGGCGGGAGGAGGAGGAGGCAGGAGGAGGAGGAGGAGCAGGAGGAGGAGGGGAGGAGGAGGAGGAGGAGGAGGAGGAGGAGGAGGAGGAGGAAGAGGAGGAGGAGGAGGAGGAGGAGCGAGGAGGAGGAGGTGGAGGAGAGGGGAGGAGGAGAGGAGCACGAGGACGCATAGAGAGGAGGAGGAGGAGGAGGAGGAGGAGGAGGAGGAGGAGGAGGAGGAGGAGGAGGACGGGCCGCCTAAGCCCTTCGGAGAAACCCTTCACCTGGACCATTCTTTGAGTACCGTTTGGGGGGGGGGGGCTGGGAGCGGGGGCGCGACCGGCCAGAGCCCGCGGTGGGCCGCCGCCAGCTTCCCCCCCCGCGGAGCTGCCGAGTCCTGGGGGGCGCCGTCGCGCGGAGGGCGTGGCGCGGGCGTGACCCTCGCAACGGGCCACACGGCGCGAGCGCAAATCGTGCTGGTGCAGCTTCTGTGTTCTTCGATCTCACAGCGCTCCCGCTCCAGCGGCCAGGAGGGCCACGAGGGCCACCATGGCCGCGCCCAGCCCGCGCCCTGGTGTAGCAGAGACCACGGCATCGTGGCTGGGCGCGGTCAGCTTCTCGCCCTGCTCGAGGCTGCCGTCCTGGATGCGCTCGGCCAGCTGAGAGTACGGCAGGATGCCGATCGCTGCCCTGCCCACCGCCGCGGGCTTGATCGCGCTGCACCTGATGCGCTTGTCGTCGCAGTAGTCGCCGCAGTTCGTCAGGCAGAAGAAGCCCTCGTGCTGCCTGCACTCGATGCCAGTGATGGCGTAGTCCTCTGGGCAGTCCATGCGACCCTCCTCCTCGCTGAACCAGTCGGAGTGCCAGGGTACGGCCGCCACGTCAACAACGTATTGTAGAGGCGTCGCACAGTGCATGCGGATGTTGTCGCAATACTTGCCCTGGCACTCGATGTTCGACACCACCTTGTCCTCGGGGCAATCGGCCACATGCCCTCCAGCCTCCTCGCCCTCGTTCCACACGTACTTCGCGCCCAAGTTGTCCGACAACCACGCCGAGTACTCCACAGTGGTCGCGTCCGTGACGATGCCAAGGAGGGTGAGCTTGACTGAAGTGCAGTAGTCGCCCTTGCATGACAGGCCCGTGGCAGTGAGGTTTCCGTCTGGGATCGCGGCCTCCGAGCTGCCCCACGCGGATTGCAGATACGCCCCGCCGCACTGACCAGTGCTGTTGACGCAGTACTCTGGCGACGAGCACTGGCCGCACGAGCCACCGCAGCCGTCGTCTCCGCACACGAGCCCCTGCGACACGCAGACTGGGATGCATGTCGGAGTCGGATTGGGCGTCGCCGTCGGCTCCGTCGTCGGCGCTGGCGTCGCAGTCGAAGCCGGATCAGGCGTCGCAGTCGGCTCCGTCGTCGGCGCTGGCGTCGCAGTCGGAGTCGGATAAGGCGTCGCAGTCGGCTCCGTCGTCGGCGCTGGTGTCGCAGTCGGAGCCGGATCAGGCGTCGCAGTCGGCTCCGTCGTCGGCGCTGGCGTCGCAGTCGGCGTCGGATCAGGCGTCGCAATCGGCTCCGTCGTCGGCGCTGGCGTCGCAGTCGGAGTCGGATCAGGCGTGGCAGTCGGCTCCGTCGTCGGTGCTGGCGGCTCATGCTTCCAGTCGGCGCAGAGGAACATCTTGCGGCCACACTGCGCAGCGCCACAGTAGATGCCGATGATCACTCCACGCCCCTCGTCGCAAATACCCTCTCCATGCTCGTGCAACGCAGGCGGGAACCAACCCGCACCACCACCTGTCCATCCACAGTCCCAAATCTCGGCGTTCGTCGGGGCGTTGCAATGAAGCATGAACTTACGGCAGCTGTCCCCGACGCACGTGACCCGGGTCGCAACCTGGCCAGCAGGGCAGAATGCGTTGCCAGTGTCCGTCTCTACCATGATGGTGCTAGCGCCAGCATCTGAGGTCGTGATGTCCGACCTACACTTGTACCTCTGGGTCCCACAATACTCCCCACTGCAATCCATGCCTACAAGCACGCCACTGCACGAGACCTGCTGTGATGTCGCTTCGTTCGAGAAAGACGCGCTCCACGTACTGGGCGGCGGCGGGGGCGGAGGCGGCGGGGGGGGGGTGGTCGTGGTAGTGGCGCTGAGGCAGGGGTTCAGGTTGCCTGCGATGTCGGTGTCGGTGGCCGCGCACAGCACGATTTGGATCTCCTCGTTCTGCCAGACGTACGTTTCTCCCATCACCGTCATCTTGATGCCCGTCGGGAGCGAGGTTGCCAGTTCCTGCGGCTCGGTGTACTCGATGAGCGTGGTGGTGCCGCGCTCGGCCGCGTGCAGAGCCAGCGTCTGCATGCTCCGCGCCCGGTCGCCGGACCACTGGTGCACGTAGACCCTGTTCGCGCTGCTGCTGCTGCTGATGTGCTTGTCGAAGCCGCCGCGGCTGCGCCAGGACAGCACCAGGTAGGGCTCGTCGCCGAAGCTCAGGGTGCCGTCCGCTGGCGGCGGCAGGTTGAGCCTCACGCCGCTCTGGTAGTGCACTCCCACCTCGGGCAGGGTGAGGGTGACCTCGCTGCCAGCCAATATCTGCTCCACGCTGTACTCCTGGTCCATGAATGCCGAGTAGCCGAGCTGCCACTGCTGCAGGAAGTTGAAGCACCTGCCATTCATGGGATTACCCATCGCGGAGCTCCAGTCCAAATACTCGGACCAAATGTACCTACCGTTGGCGTGGTGGAGCCCGATGTTGTGCCCGTACTCGTGGATGAACACCGCGGCGCCCTGAGTAACGCTGTCGCGGTACCACGTGTTGGCTCCCTTGATCTCGCCCAGGCCCGCCGCGTCGCCGAGCCAATCGTCTGGAAGCACCATGGCCTTATAGTAGTTGCCGGTCCACCTCGGGTCGTTCTTCAGGTGTTCATTGCACGTCCAATGGACTGTCCACATGTCTCTGCTCGACGGGCAGATCTCGATGGGTCCGATGACGTCTCCCATGACAGAGATGTCCTTGGTGCTGCTGACAGAAGCACAATCTTTGAGGATGCTGTTGACAGAGCCGGCGCCGTTGCTGAATACAGCGCTCTGCACGCCGTGCGGGGTGGAGTGCACCAGCTCTTCACCGCAGGGCGAGATGAGGACCACCACGGTGTCCAGCACGGTCGGCGCAAGGCCGTCGGACAAGCGGCGCGAATTGTCGGCCTCGAACTCCTCGGAGTCCACCTCGCCCTGGGCGGCCTCTACCACGAAGAGCTCCCGGGTGTCGAAAACCTCCATCCCGTCTGCCCCGAGCGGCGTGAGGCCAGCGGACATCTCGAGGTTGTCGAGCTCGTCCCTCTCCTGCTGCGCGGCCAGCGCATCGCTCTCCGCGTGGCCGACGAGGGTGACCGCGCGGATCGTCTGAAGCCAATGCGGCATGTTCCGCCCCTGATTCCCCTCGGTGCCCGGGAAGTAGAGGCGCATGCGAGCGCCGTCCTCCCTCAGGAAGCTGACGTCCATCTTCGCCCCCTCCACGCCAAAGGTGTCCAGCTTCACGATGTCCACGGTGACGTTCAGCGTGTCCGGGGTCGACCCGCTGGCGGACAGGCGGCGCAGGTGCGGGTGCTCCGCGGGCGCCGACCAGGAGAAGCGGCGGACCTCGCAGGCGCCCAGCGGGCATACGGCGGCGAGCACGGCGCCGACCAGCCACGGGGCAGTGGGCATCGCGGGAGCACGTGGTGGCCTGGAGGGAAACGGCGCTGCGGCAGCCTCGGCGGCAATTTGCAGAGGCACAGGGGGCACCTAAAGCCTGGGCTTGAGTCAAAACGGCTACGGGTTTCGGCACAAAGATCGTGACGCCCAAAGGGGGCTCCACCTACGGCCCCAATGGGAAGGCTCACATGCGGTCCTCCCGTCTGTGTCGGCACACTCCACACTCAGATCGTGCCCCCGTAGGGGGTTCTGCCTACGTGCCCAATGGGTCGGCACAGCCCTCACGCGGATCGTGTCCAACAGGGAGCTCCAGTTACGGTCCTGAGAATTCACATGCAGACCCCCCACCCATTTCGGCAAGTTCACATGCGGCCCCCTCGTCCATTTCGGCCCCCACACGAAGCCTCAATGGGCAAATTCGCATGCGTTCCCCCCGCCCATTTTGGCACACCCCTCACACGGATCTGCCACCTTAGGGAGCTCCACCTGCAGCCCCAACGGGCAACCGCCCATTTCGGCGCATCCCCCAGACGTTTCGCAGCCCCGCAGGGAGCTCCACCGAAGGCCCCCGTAGAAGAGTCCGCATGGCGCCCCTCCGCCCATGTCGGCACACCCCCCTTCACACGTGTCGCGCCCCCGCAGGGACTCCAGCTTGCTCCACAGTCCTGTCCGCGGCGCGCATCATTGAGGGCCGCGCCATGCGCTGCACGCATCTGCCTGGGGTCGGGTCTACCGCCAAATCAATTATTTTTTCCGCCCGCAAGTGCCCGGAAACCTCCGACATCACCCCCCCTCCGAACACCGTCGGACCCATCCGAACGCCTCGCCGGCGACGGCGGTGACGGGGGTAATGACGACGACGGCGACGACAACATGCGATCGAGGTTCTATTCATTCGCCTGCTCATTCCAGAAATCATTCTACGAAGAGCGGGGTGGCATCGCAAGGCAAGGCAGTGCGGTCAGCGTGCCAGTCTGGTGCTGGAGGAACAACTATGGGAGTCCGTACCTGAGGAACAACGAGCCCCTTGCCCACCCGACCTTTGGTGCACTCGAAAGGGGTACGGACAAACATTGACACGATGCCCCACAGCAAATGTGGTCCAAAACCGACAGCGGCCGCTGTGGCGCAGGCGACTTCTTCTCTCAAGTGGAAAACGTTCGAGGCGACGCCGACAGCGAGGCCTGTTCGACAGAATGGACAAGGACGGCAATTGGTCTTCGTTACCACTCCTTCCGTGCCCGTTGCGATCGTACCGAGGACTGCTTCTCATTTGAGCGTCTCGACTGCATGGGTCGGAGCAGGGCGAGTTGAGACAACGGCAACTCAAAATCGGTCCCCGGACCACTTCCGGGGTCCGAGCGCACCAATTTTCCGAGCTGCGTCCACCTGTGGCGACGAGGGGCCACCTCGAAGGCCAACCACCGTTGTCCGAGCTCGCCCTCCCTGGACCCTCGAGGATCAGATTCCTCGTCGCCCAGTTTTCGGGTCATGCCTCGGTTCTCTGGCGGCCGTTCGGGACGATCCGGGCACTTCCAGAGCGCTCTCAACGAGGCGCAGCCGCTGGAAGGCATCCCGAGGCTGGGAACCTACCGCGAACCGACTCACCCGTCTGAAAACCTCGCCCTGGCCATCGCTCGGACGTCCATTCCCTGTGTTTTTTTTCGGTTTCGTGCGTGGTTTTTTCGCCAAATGATCATGGATTCTCATCGATGGTCCTCGCCGAAAGAGAAATGCACACGTCCGAGCGATGCCAAGTTCTGGAGTATGTAGTTGGCGCCCTCCGAACTCAGGTCTCACTTCGGCGGCTGGACGGCACGGGTCGAACGTCGGTCGCCGAGACGACTGGGCCGAGGCGGCGCGGGTCCGCGAGGCGGCCGACCGCGGCGGCGAGCTCTGGCCCGGCGGCGCTCTCGCACGCCGTGGGGCTGCTGGAGGGGTCGTGCGGGGAGCGCCGCAGCGCCTCTCGCGGCGGCGGCGCGGTCGCGCGCTGTTTCCGCCGACGCCGCGGCTGCCGGCGCAGCCGCTGCCGTCGTGCGGCGCGGAGGGGCTCGAAGTGTGCACCCTTTTGGCGTCGGCGGCTAGGCAAAAGGGTGACTGTGCTGGCGATGAGAGGCATAAGCGGGGGTTCCGTTGGAGCGAATTGTGCCACCATGCAAGAGGAGGGGGGAAGAGGGACGCGGCCAGCGAAGTGTACACCCAACTGGTTGGTCGGACAAGGAGCTCGTTGTACAGACTCCCCAGTTTCCCAGCATGTGCGGTTCTATAAGGGCGTCCATCGCCGGCGGTCGGGCGCTGCCGGAGGGTGGTTGGGAAGGGGTCGGAGTATACAGCACGCGCATACGATAGGAAATCGTGATGTAAGAAGTAATGTCAGCTTGTGATTAGCATATCCGTGAGGGGCGCGTGATTTAAACAATAATTTCCCTGCTCAGGCGAATCGCGGGGTGGCGCCCGCCATATTGAAAATCAACGGCGGCGGCGCTGGTGATTAGCGCCGACGCCTAGCCGCCGGCGGGAAGGCGACATACAACACAGACTGGGGGAGGGGAGGGGGCGGGAGGCAAAGGCGGTAGAAGCAGGGACCGTGAGCCAGGGCGACACGTGTTTGAAATGAAGAACTGCTGTCGGCGCTCGCCCCCGCACTTTCCGTATTCTTTTCTGTCGAATCGATGCGCTTCCCTAGCCCATGCCGCAGCCAAGGGGGCGCCAGCTTCATTGCTGATTTTCCGAACGCCCCTTGAGGACTGGCCCCTCGGCGGGGCGACCGAAACCAGCTGCGCGCAGCAGGTTTCGCCCCCCCCCCCCCCCTTTCATTCCCCAGTCTTTCGCCCGACCCGAACATGGCGGGCAGTCTTCCTCCCCCCCTCTCCTGCGGTCTATGTAGCCGTCGACGACGACGACGACGAACACGAGGACGAAAACGACGACGAGGACGAGGACGAGGAGGACGGGGACGAGGATGAAAACGAGGGCGAGGACGACAGACGGCAGACGGCAGACGGCGGCGACGACGACGATGCACTGCGGATGCCCTATTGGGGGTGGTGGTGGTGGTGTGCTGCGCAGGCCCGCTGTAGTCGACGACGGCGACGACAACACGACGAAGACGACGACGACGATGACGACGACTGCGGCGGCGGCGACGACGACGATGACGCGACGACGACGACGCACTGCGGATGCCCTGTGGGGGGGGGGTGCGCAGGCCCGCTGTACTCGACGACGACGACGACGAAGACGACAACGACGATGACAGCGACGACGACGACGACGACAAGGACGACGAAAAAGAAAACGACGACGCCTGAGAGGGGGAACACAATTCGCCTCGGATGTGTACGACCACTATAACAACTTCTATACGAACGGCAATCGTTTTGAGGCTGTCATGCAGGGGGGTACGCGCTCCCTTCGGCGGGGCCAGCGACGACCCCGTGGCGCGCGTGATTAAACAACATGTTTGAACAAATGTTTCACGCCCCGCGGGGTCTATTCATCAGCCCCTGGGGGGTCATTTGTTAATCACAAGCTGACATTCTAGGGGCACGCTCTTCGTCGATCTTTGAGGGTCCTGAGGTGTCCCCGAGCTCTCGTGGGTCTCTGGGGCCATCCAGCGTCAATGAGTTTCGGTGGGGCACTTGCTGGCAGGCCGACTTTTCTGATGCAATGCGTCTGCTGCGCACCACGTCGTCTGGTGGGGAAGAGGAGCTCGGTGTGCAGGCGCCCCCGCTTCCCAGAGCTGGTGGGGTGCCGGGGCGTCCATGGCACTCCATGCCTCCGCGCGACGGCGCGGGTGCGCGCGCGCGCGGGGAGGGCGGCGCGGGCCGAGTGCACTGGCTCTCCATGGCCGACCGAACGACGTGGTGTGCACATCGAAACCCTGCAGACAGCTGTGCTGATATTGGAGCGGTTCCTTTTAAAAACCGGGACCGTCGTCGAGCTCTTCCCTGACCTTGATGGCTCCACCCAGGTCGGGCACGTCCTCCTGCAGGCGGATGTTCGAAGAAAGATCTATAATCAAACCATTCCCAAAATGCATAGAAGAGCACGACAAATCGTCCCCAGGCTATCTTTCACCACTCTCGAAATTTCCTCCTGTAGAGGGACAGGCCCGACCCAAAAACATCGGCATTGCTGGCCCACGGGGCGCTTCTGTCTTTCAAGGGGGGGTGGAGCGCTTCGCGCAGGGAGAGCGAGAATGCCTGTAGGGGGCCAATGGGAGGGGACTCGGGACGGGATGGTGTACTGCAACATCGCTGATATTTGCATATTGGATCGGCTTTACTCTGGTCCTCCTCCTTCCCCCCTCCCTCCCTCCTTCGTCCCCCCTCCTTGCTCGCCCCTCGTCCATCCTCGCTCCTCCTCATCCACCTCCTCCATCGTCCCTCCTCCCTCTCCTTCTCCTCCTCCTCCTCCTCTTCTTCTGCTGTTCTGGAGACCACCTGCAAGACCGACCCTAATCACGACCAATCTCCGCTATCTCTTCCCGCCTACCTGGCCATTCACAGAGAGATGCAGCCGAATGCTGCTGACCACAGCCGCCCGCGAGCGAGACCGAGAACTCAAGCTGATGGACTGTGCGGGACGGGTAGCCCCGTGGGGATTCGCCGAAAACTGAGCCTTGGAGAAAAGGGCGTGCAAGGACTGGTTCAGCAGTTGCGCCACCCTGCACGAGAGAAGCGGGCCAGCCCTGCAGGAAACGGGCCCTGGACACAAAGGCTTTTTCCCTGGGACCCGCTCTTCAGTCCCGGATCGTCGCTAACGGTCCCGGAGCCCAGGGAGGGCCCCCGAGAGCTCGCAAATGGGAAAAACCTCCAGGGTTCATGTGCCCCTCGTGACTACCCACCAGAGCACCCCAGACCCGAAAACCCAACTTTCCGGTTGGGGGGGGGTTCTTGGTTCCACATGTGTTTTTTCAGTGTTCCCCGACGCTCCCCTCCCACTGGAAATGGAGGGCAAATTGGAGCCTTCGGACTGGTTTGGGGTGGTTTGGTGGGTGGTGACCTCAGGACCCCCTGCCCCCACGGCGAACCCGAACCACGCATGACAAGCTGCTTGGCTCACGACTTGCGCGCATCGAGCGCCCGGCCCCGGCTGGATACGCTCGACCCGTGCCCGGGTGGCGGCGCGGGGAGCCAGCCTCGGCACGGAGCGGGAGGACAGTCGCCCGGGAGCGCGTGCCGCGTGCTGCTGCGGCGGCGGCGGGCGCCCTGTCAGCAGAGAACCACTGCCCCGGCAACCGGGATCCAGCGGGTGCCACTTCTGTCTTCGCGTCCGGCGTGGGGTCGTCCAGAGGCGCCACACGACGACCGATTGGAGAAAGCAACAAAAAGGGAAGGCGGCGCACAGGACGACTGGTGATCCCGGCACCCACCCAGTCAGTCATCCTGATTTCCCGCCCACTGCATGCCTCGCGGCTTCCAGGGGTTTCAAAGTTCAGGGGAAGAGGAGGAGGAGGAGGAGGAGGAGGAGGAGGAGGAGGAGGAGGAGGAGGAGGAGGAGGAGCGCACGTCCCATGGGAGTGCCGTCAGGTTACCGACGAACGAGAGCCGCATGCCGTATTGAAAGGTGGTGGTCGTAGCTGCCGAGCTGCGATGGGGTTACTGCAAGCTCGGCGCGGACCTTATGGAAGATAGAGTACGCTAAACTGACGAGGTCGTGGGCAGTCTCGATCGTGAGATCGGTGCCGCCATATTCCTCCTCCGTCCCGAGGCCGAGCCACAGGAAGGGGGGGACGGTAGGGATATGCAAGCGGGGCAAGGCAATGAGGTGAAGCAAGCGGGGGCAGGAGAGGTAGTGGAGGAACGAGTCGGGGTGACCAGGGCAGCCAAACCTGCAGGGCAATGGCATTAGGATTTTAACCCTGTGGCTGGTGATCCACCCTCCGGCGAGGGTTTTAAGGTGGGACCACACCGTGTGCGGCTGAGAACGTGACAAGACTTGGCGAAGTGCGAGCCATCTTGTCTCCACATCGGCAAGAGGCAGGGGTTCGGGAGGGAACCACGTCTTAAGCCTCCGGAAGATCAGCTCATGGAATCGATCGGGAAATTCTGATCGCATGAGCTGGGAGATGAAGGCGCCTTGAGGTCCCTGCCCCCCTCGCCCACGACGCAGACGCCCACGGCCCCGACCACCCCTTCCTCTAGCGCCTCTATCTGGCCGCCGCGCGGCGGCTGACATAATACCGAGCTGCCGGAGCCTGTCCTCACCAGGCAGGGGGGGCCCCTGTGGATCAGCAGCAGCATCGATGGCTGCTTGGATCCGAGCCGCTGGAAATGGGAGGCCGCGGCAGCCTTGGGAGAATTGCCGATAGTATTGTAGCACGCCTCGCTCCTGCATCCAGCAGGGTGCAGAGAGGAGACCTTTGCGCACACGCATGTGCAGACCGTGAACGTCCACCCCCTCCCACCACCAGTCAAAGTCCCGCCCCCAGTTTTTCAAAGTGTGCGTCGACGCCCGCCAGGCACAGGCGACATAATACACTTGAACACTCGTGGGGGATGCCGATCGCATCCAATTGCGCACCCCGAAAAAGTCGTGCAGGGAAAATGTACTGGGAGGGAGGCGAAGGAGCTTGTGGAGAGCGTAATATTCTTTGCGAGCGATCTCTTGGCACAGCGGGAAAAACTGAGCAAGGTACCCGAGAACTGACAAGCATGTGTGCTCGTACAGTCTTATGGCCGCCTCGCTGGGAGCGCGGGTACGGGCAATCGCACAAATCCTGGACCACCATTTTTCACCAGCCTCGCGCCAGATCTCGCGCAGGGTGGCCCCGGGACCAATTAGCACCCCAAGATATTTGGCCCACGAGCGCACCTGAAACGATGCCCACGCGGGGACAAGCTGAGCGATGAGCTGGGAGATCCGGGCACACTCCACCATTGTGCAAGCGGCTGCCAATGGAACTGCGACACACTTTGTGGGCTGCAATGCCAATCCGGCCAAGCGCTCGGCGAGCAC